TGAAAATTTTATGAAAAATATTTAAAAAAATTAGTCACACATAAAGTACTATTCATGTTTTATCATCTAATAACAATAAAAATACTAATCATAATCTTTTTTCAAATAAGACGAACAGTCAAACGTTGGACATGAATAGTGCTAAAACTGCACTTATTTTAGGACAGAGGGAGTAGAAAATAGTGGGGATGGTGCATGCATTGAGTTTATTGCTAGAGTAAATATAGTATGAGAGAGTTATTAATTTTTCTTGATCTTGGTGTACCTACGAAATATGTAGATCAATTTGAAATGGAGGGAGTAGAATAGTTTGGTTCGTTTCATACTAAAAACTTCGGTAACAAGCCTGGAGTTACTAAAATATTGGTAATACCAATAACTTATTTAATTAACGCAGATTCTAGTATACTCTCTCCGTATTTTAATATATGACGCCGTTGATTTTTTAACCAACTTTTGACCATTCGTCTTATTCAAATTTTTTATGCAAATATAAAAATACTTATGTCATGCTTAAAGAACATTTGATGATAAATCAAGTCACAATAAAATAAATGATAATTATATAAATTTTTTGAATAAGACGAAAGGTCAAATATTTATCAAAAAGTCAACGGCGTCATACATTAAAATACGGAGGAAGTACATGTTTTCTTTTGTGCTAATATAAAATCATGATTATGAAAACTAATACTCTAAATATCACCAAAATTTTATAGGTGTAGTTTATTAATGAAGTGTTTGAATTTTAAAGAGCATATTTAGTTTCCTGCTATAAGTCGCCACGAGAAATACTATACATGTCATATATTATTACCATGTGTTGGTTATTACAACTATAACAATCAATACTTTACTAATTTATATTGTCCTAGTATATGATATACTATCATACACTCAGTTTTGAGCCAAACTTAGGCACTTTGAGTCGCGACAGCCAAATTAAACAACACCTAAGAGCATCATCAATGAAGGTTGCCCAAAATTATAACCCCTAAATTTTTCTTGGAAATCTATAATGAGAATTTAAAGATTAAAAGTTATACATCTCACCGAGAGAGAGCATACACTCAGCTCCCTAAATTAAAAAGAATAAGTTTTACTTTGGGTCATCTTTAACCATTTTTTTAATTTTGAACTAGAAATCTTATCTTTGTACCACCTTGGATCACTCTCAACTCTTTTATCTATCTACATCAAACTATATCATATATCAAATAAATTTTCTATATAAAATGGTGGGAGTTCATTGACGAATCGGAGCTAGCATACTCGAATTCGTTTATATACTTGAGAAATGAGTTAGGGTAGTTCAAACTGCAAAAAAAAAGATTACCTATTCTAAAATAAAAACATTGGTTAAAGTGTGATACAAAGCAAAACACCGGTATGAAAATATGGCCTAAATTCGTTGTTCCCCTCTTCCCACGAGAGCGCATCCCTCTCTTCGCACAATCAGGACTAAGAGCAAGTGCCCTCCAGCCGATGTAGAGAGCGAGAAATACATATTTGGGGATTTTAATTCATTGGCATCTACGTAGGAAAACTTTTAGAGGTTTTCTTTTACATAGAAGCCTAGTTTTAGGATTAAAAAACATATTAAGTTTATGCTGGTAATGATAAAACACTCAGTTTTAAAACACTCATGTTTATAACTAATTATTATAATTTCTCAGTGGTAGAAGTCTATGGAGAATTTGTGAATTTTAAGATAAGCTGACTCAATTTTTAGATTTATTCATACTGCATATGATAGGGGCAAAAGGGGTGTTTATAAGGTGGTGTTTGGATCTAGGGACTTAACTTTAGTCTCTGTATTTAGATATTAATTTAGAGTATTAAATATAGACTACTTACAAAACTAATTACATAAATAAAAGCTAATTTGCGAGACAAATTTTTTAAGCCTAATTAATCCATAATTAGAGAATGTTTACTATAGCATCACATAAGCTAATCATAGATTAATTAAGCTCAATAGATTCGTCTCACGAATTAGTCCAAGATTATAAATGGGTTTTATTAATAGTCTATGTTTAATATTTATAATTAATTTCCAAACATCTGATGTGATAGTGACTTAAAAGTTTTAGTCCCACCAAGACAAAACACGGTCTAAATTTATAGAGACGACAGATGAGAGCGTGTGCGTGAGTATCATGTGTGAAAATTAACATCCCTAATGAATTCCGAGGCAATTCCAAAACTTCACCACCAGTGGAAACTCGGGCTCAAGACGAAAGATTCTTCAGCAATGGTAACACGCCAAAGGCGTAACTCGGCCCCAGGCAAAGGACCAACGGTTAAAAGAAAACCCAATAGCCGTCTTGTCCAACTCAAAAGTGGAAGGCTAGAGACCAATTAAGCAGGCAAGCACGTGCATGCTCCATGCCTCCACGCATGAAACCCTACGCTTCGTTAATTTCAACCATTTCTCCCAACAACACTGCAGCCCCTATTTGTCCACATGATTTTAGCTTGAGGGAAGGGAGGCACTCCTAGTACCAGTAGACCACTGAGGCTAATTAAAGTGATTAAGGAATCAAAAATCCTAAAATGTCAGCTCTTATCCTTGTACTGGTAAGTACAGTACACTAGTATAAAAATATATATAAGGCATGCATGCTTGCTAGTAACACATTGTATAACACCATTTTTTTAATCTGTGTAGTACTACTCTCTCTGTCCCGGATTTTGAGTTTTTATTTGCATTGTTTAACCACTCATTTTATTTAAAAAAAATTGTGCAAATATAAAAAACAAAAAATTATGCTTAAAGTACTTTGAATAATAAAGTAAGTCAAAAAATAAATAATAATTTTAAATTTTTTTAATAAGACGAGTGGTCAAACAGTATAAGTAAAAACTCAAAATCCCTTATATTATGAGACGGAGGGAGTACCTTGGATATGGAAAGAAAAGAATATGGCAGATACCAATATACGAAATACTGTTACCTTATTTCACGCTTGTTAATTCATACAATCTCAATTATTTTTACTATTGATTAATCTGTTGTCTAAATTATTTTCTCTCTTATTTTATAGAACCACGTCACCTCAATTTCTTTTTTTTACATTTGATAATTAATCTGTGATCCAAGTTGTTTTTCATCTCTCGTAAACCACATCACCTCAAATATATATACCCACAATATTAGATGCGTAATTTTGTTATAATTTGATCATATCATATGCACTTATGCGAAATTTAGTCAAACATACAACTTAAAATTACAAATAATTTCTCAAAATATACAAGCCTTTTTACTTAGATAATGGAATTGAACCCAACATATGCATCAAACAAAAGATACATATGCATGAGCTAGAACTATATGTGTATGTTTTATGCGCGCGCACACACACTACACTACAACACTAAAAAGAAGACAATTGTCTGTCGGTAGAAAAAAATTATACTATGCCACTTTATCTTTCCCAACAGATAGTTTGCCACTAAAAGCTACTTATTCCAACAGATCAAAGTATTTATGTACCTATATCTTGGTGTAGCGACATCACTACATATGCACACCACACTCACAAACACATGGGTGTGCACTCTTAATACAGGCTAATGACTCAGAAGTAAATCCATAAAAATTATACTTACATGTGCGTAATTGTAGGCACTAGGAAAAACATGCTTCTACAAATCCACTAACACATCTCTAGTGCTTTGAAGCAAACCACGTATACCTAGCACTACATTTATCAAGTACTCTCGATTAATGGGTTATATGCTAGCATTGTTTGGATTATCACGTTGTTTTATGGTGACATAATTCTATACTTTCTTGATAATTTTCTAAGAATAATTATTTTTGAAAGTTGATATAAAATTATGATTTTTCTCCGGACGTTAATAGCGACAAACATATACAACAAACGATATAAATCCACCTAATTATGATACCGTTTAGATCTTTCTCTGATATGTAGTAGTACATAGAACAACTCATATCTTCCTCGAATAACCTATGGTTCGTACCTGTGCTAAAAAGAAAGAAAGGACGCTAAAAAGCAGCCACTGAATCAAAACCAACCTGAGTGGAAACCTCCGGAAAAGAGCCACCTTTTTTACACGCCCAACCCTTGTTCGGTTCTTCCCCCCTTCCAACCTGTGATGAAGCACGTCTCCCCAATAGCCCGGAACCGCCCGTTCCACCACCAATCGCCATCGACGCGCGCCCCCACCTTCGTCGTCCCGCGCCCAATGTAGCTGCAGCTGCAGCTGCTGGTGTGGACGTAGCGGGAGCGGAGGCAGGAGCGGGTTGGCTCCATCGTCACATCGATGTGAGTCGTCAGCTACTGTGGCCCAGCGTCCGTCCAGCGCGGCAGCGGGATGCACAGCGTACTGCTGGCCTCTGTGCTTGCTGCTGCTCTTGTCACTCGCTCTCGCCCGTGGCCGTGGCCGTGGCCGTGCTCCTGTTCTCTGCCGTCTCCTCTACCGCAGTACTCCCTCCCAGATTTTAATATTTTTAACCATCTATTTTATTTAAAAATTTTAAAATTATTATTTATTTTTTATAATTTACTTTATTATCTAAAGTATTTTATGTATAACTTTTTTTATATCTGCATAAATTTTTTAATAAGACGAGTGATCAAACAGTGTAAATAAAATATTAAAATCTCTTATATTACGGGACGGAGGGAGTACTAATTAGAGCAAGTTTAATAGTATAGCCAACTACTAGCTCCAATTTATCTATAGTCAATCTAATAGCTCATTCATGCCTCCATCGGTTGACTTTTTTTTTCTAATAAGCCAAAACGGCTTATTAGGGAATAAAAATAAATTTGTAGGTAAAACTTTTATATATGTGTTCTTTGTAACTTAAAAGCCAATGTTGAAAAAAAATTACGTTGAAAATATTTCAAAATTAAGTTTGAAAATTCAAAATTTGGCTTATTTTTTGGTTTATTGGACCATTGGATGGAAGCCTCATACAATAGTTACATACTACAAAATTAATACCTGGTCTCATCTGTCATACACACTGCGTCTTAAATTCTGTGTTATAGCTGACTAGAAATCTGTAGCCCGCTGCTTTTCTCTCTCTTCATTTATCTTCTTAAAATATGTTTACAGCTGGCTTATAGACTGCTATTGTCCTTGCTCTTAGAAGTAAGAGTATAGTCGATACGCGAGATTCCCCCATCGGCGACACCGCCGCGGCCGAGCCCCCGACACGGCACAAAATTTCCACGAGAGCATGCGCGCGCCGCTGTTCCACACCGGCCTGTGGCGCCTATATATGGGGTGGAGCCGCCAACCCAAGTTTCACTTTCACCCCCAGAAACCCCGCAACACACGAGTTAAACCGCTACTCCTCCTCCTCCTCCTACTACCACTAGTAGGCAGCTTTGAGCTTTGAAGGTGGTAGCTACTCGGAGTAGTAGTACTAGCAGTAGCATCTGGGAGTGTGAAGCGGTAGTAGTAGTAGTGCACTAGTGCGTCACACTCACACACACACACAAGCAGCAGCAGCAGCAGCTGAGCTTTTATTTTACTACTCCTTTTAAAAGAGGGGTGTGCCACCACTGTTGTCGCCTCCTCAGCTCAGCTCAGCTCGCCTTCCTTTTCACTCACACGCGCACGCTCGCTAGCTAGAGAGAGAGAGAGTGAGGGAGCGGCAATAAAAAGAAGAGAGAGAGAGAGAGAGAGAGAGGCTAGGCAGCTAGCAGGAGGAGGAAGGGACCGACCACCGCCTGCCGCAATGGCGACCGGCGGCAGCGGCGGCGGCGGCGGAGGTGGAGGTGGTGGTGACGATGTCCACGGGCTCAAGTTCGGCAAGAAGATCTACTTCGAGCAGGACGCGGCGGCGTCGGCGTCGGCGGCGGCGGTGGAGTCGTCGTCGACGTCGTCGGGCGGAGGCGGCAAGAAGGGGAAGGGCGTGGCGGCGGCGGCGGCGCCCCCGCCGCCGCTGCCGCCGAGGTGCCAGGTGGAGGGTTGCGGCGTGGATCTGAGCGGCGTCAAGCCGTACTACTGCCGCCACAAGGTGTGCTACATGCACGCCAAGGAGCCCATCGTCGTCGTCGCCGGCCTCGAGCAGCGCTTCTGCCAACAGTGCAGCAGGTAAAAAACCAAAAACCAAAACCAAAATCTTCTTCTTCTTCCTCCTCCTCGTCGCCGTCGTCCAGCCATTGCCCCTGCTTCCTCTGCTGCTCTACTGTTCCACCTGTGAGCGCGTGAGTGTGACAGACACTCACCAATCCACCGTGTGATTCGCCCAACTTTCAAACGGTTCCTGCCAAAATTCAAAAAAACTCCCCACTAGATTTGGCTACCTCAGCAAGCTCTGATTTTAGGACAAGAAAAAAGAAACAACCTCTGCAACTTGCAAAAACGTAGCAGCAACGTTGGATTTCAGGCAAATTAAATTTTGCCGTTTTGTCCCTGGCCAGATTGAGAGATTTTCATGCCCTGTGTGTAGTGTACTGCTGCTGGGTTTGATAGTAGTAGCGATCAATGTGAAATTTAGGACATGTGGAACCTGACTAGAATAGTAAGGGACATAAAAGTGTCCATCCAGAATATCTTGTCTGAGGAGCACACATATAGTAAGTCTAGATCTCCTTTTTTTCTATTCTAGTAGTATGTGGAATGTGGTAGGATATGAAGTATATATGGGGTAGTAGTAAGGTACTACACTGTACTACTATGCACTATTTAATGCCCTAAAATGGAAGTAGGGCAGCAGAGAAATTGAGGTGGAAAACAAATCGGATGAAATAGTAACTACAAAACCTTGCTAATTAGGAATGTTTGCTGACATGGATGAGAGAGAAGCAAGGAGATGCAAACATGGTAGCTTCGATTAAACAACCGCTTAGCAACGACTCTTAACCTCTATAGAATGGAAACTTTTCTGCATGAGGGTTTTAACAAGGAAATAATAGTAATAATTTTGTTTTTATGAATGCATTGTTTAAATAAAGTCTTTGTTGTCGATCTCAACAGTTGTAAGGACATAGTCTCTGAATAAACATGTATTATTTAAAAGACTATATGGGTTCTACCTTTGAACATGCCCAGCAATAACGAAGTTGGTCAATCATGCTAACCAATAATTCTCATTTGGTTCATCAGAAATCCCATATACTTACTCTAATTTTGTCCTATATGTTTTCATTTTGTATAGTAGATACTAGAACACAAACACTTATGCTTATGCTACATAATCTAAAATATCAAAATGAAATAACATCATCTGCTATATTGCATCCAACAATTTGTTTGGAAAAAATGCATACTATTTCATAGTTGGTGGCTTGTGGAGTTGTGGACATATGCATTACCGGAAAATAGAAGGTTCTGACTGTTGTGTTATTTATAAATCTGCTCTGCCGTAGATAAAACATCTCTTGACTATTTGATGTACTAACTAAAGCCTTTGTTTGTGCTAAAGTACTATGGGAATGATTGCAGGTGCTCTGTCCACATGGTTAGGTAACCTTTTTATTTTCCCGGTCGTGGTGTATGTGTATCTAATCATGAAAGGCGTGTCTTTGGTTAGTGTTGCTACTTAGAACAAATACACATTAGTCTAGGATTAAAAAAAAGTTGTTATGCTTGCATCGACGCAGCTTTTCACATGGCATGTGGTTTGATTTATTTATCTGATGCACGCTCCGTATTAAGATAAGCAGCAGGGGTAGCTGATTCTTGATTACAGAGTTGGCACTCCTACTTTTCATGTGCTTGCAATTTTCTAAAGTAAGGTCACTACAATAAGCAATAGCCCCACCAAAAATGCTCTTCAGCGTGCTTTTTTTTTATTGAGTTAAATTGATTATTGCTTTTCATTGTCAGTGTAGAGTATTTTTTATAGCATGACATTCTTCATTAGGAAAACTCCTTGTATTCAATTATATCCTGCAGTGTCACTACGCTTGTGGTAATTCACTAATATTTTGGCCACTTCAAATCACAGGTTCCACCAATTACCTGAATTTGATCAAGAAAAAAAAAGCTGCCGCAGACGCCTTGCAGGTCACAATGAACGCCGGAGGAAGCCGACACCTGGACCTCTTTCTTCTCGCTATGGCCGGCTTGCTGCATCCTTTCATGGTAAAATGTGGCTCATGTTTGTCCTGTTACTCTGAACTTCAGATGAGTGTATTGACTTGTTGCCCCTGCAACTTTTGTTTCAGAAGAGCCAGGCAGGTCCAGAAGCTTTGTGGTAGATTTCTCATACCCAAGGGTTCCAAGCAGTGTGAGGGATGCGTGGCCTGCTATTCAGCCCAGCGATCGCATGTCCGGTTCAATCCAGTGGCAAGGGGGCCATGAACTCCATCCTCACCGCAGCGCAGTTGCGGGATACAGTGATCACCATGCGTTCAGCAGCCATGGTGGCTCAGCGGCTGGGGCACCAATGCTCCACCACCCAGCCTTTGAGCTCACCTCAGGTGGATGTCTCGCGGGAGTCGCCACCGACTCCAGCTGTGCTCTCTCTCTTCTGTCAACTCAGCCATGGGATACTACCCAAAGCACCAGCAGCCACAACCGGTCCCCGCCAATGTCGTCAACGGCCAGCGCCTTCGGAGGCGGCAACAACCCGGTGTCGCCCTCGGTCATGGCAAGCAACTACATGGCGGCGAGCCCCGGCTGGAACAGCTCCAGCCGGGGCCATGACGGCGCCAGGAACGTGCACCTGCCGCCACCGCACGGGGTTGTGCTGAACGAGGTCCCTCCGGGCTCTGTCCACCACGGCCATTTCTCCGGCGAGCTCGAGCTCGCACTGCAGGGAGGTGCCCCGTCCAACCGGCCGGAAGCCGAGCATGGCTCCGGCAGCGGCGCCTTCAGCCACTCCACCAATGCCATGAACTGGTCTCTGTAGAGACCATTGATCATCTTCTTCCCCACCGTCACTGCGCCTTCATGCCAAGAGACATGGAACATTGGGCAGCCTAGTTTTGTGCTCCTTAACATTGCCATTTAGGTTTTCAGGATGGAGAGGGAATTCGTAACTGATTAGGCCAGTAATTTCCTCTCGTTGAGCCTGATGTGTCCATGAATTCAAAACACCCGAAGAGATCCACTACCTGTAGAACTCCATAAACTGGGAGAATTGATGTGTTTTACTTGACCTATTTTAATCTCGGATTCATCTTAAATTGGTTTTTGAAATCGGTACGTACTGGAAAACATTACGAGAAAGGTAATCGGGGCCTGTCTTGGGACTCTTGGTCTCCTTCCTCTGGTTGAGAATCCTTCTCCGACACGGACACACGCCTCGGTCCCGTGTCGAACACCTCGTGGCGCGGCGCGATATGTACCATCGTGAGTCTCCGTTTACTCCGTGTGAGACGCAACTCGCCATCACACGACGATGGATTCCGGCGGTGGCGGTGGCGGTGGCGGTGGCAACGGCGACACGGGCGGCGAGGGCTCGACGTGGACGCCGTGGTCCGGAGTGGACGCGGCGCCGCCCCGGCGCGGTGGCAACGGCGACAGGGGCAGCGAGGGCTCGACGTGGACGCCGTGGTCCGGGGCGGACGCGACGCCGCCCCGGCGCGGTGGCAACGGCGACACGGCCGGCGAGGGCTCGACGTGGACGCCGTTGTCCGGGGTGGACGCGACGCCGCCCCGGCGCGGTGGCAACGAAGACGCGGGCGGCGAGGGCTCGTCGTGGGCGCCGTGGACCGGGGTGGACGCGACGCCGCTCCGGCACGGCATCGACGCCACCGTGGATGAGATCCGCGAGGCGCTGGGGCTGGCGCCCGTGTCGGCCGCCATGGCGCGCCGCCGACGCGCGGCGGAGCACCTGCGCCGCGCCGCGGAGTACGTGGAGCTGCGCGCGCGCGGGGGTTGCCACCACGACGACGCGCGGTGCCGCCGGGTGCAGTCGGCGCTGGCCGCGCAGGTGCGCGGCGCGTGCGCGCGGTGCGGGTCCAACTTCTGCGTCGTGCCCGTGGTGGAATCCACCAACGTCTCGGGCGAACAGTGCGTTCGCTGCGGCTGCTGCGGCGAGCGCGTGGATTTGGCGGCGGCGGCGGCGCTGGTGATGGCTCCCCCCGCGGCGACGAGGCGGCAGCAAGGGTGGCAACCGTGTCACCAAGGCTACAACATGTAGCAGCGATTCTCTGACTTACTGACGTATAAACCATACTACTGACGGACATAATCCCTCCGTTTCATAAAAAACGAATCTAGAATAAAATGTAACACATTATAGTAATATGAATCTGTACAGATGTATGTTACTGGAGTAGTTAGTAGTTTTTAATAGAACGGAGGGAATACATTTCAGCGATCTGCGTCAGAGAAGTCTCGTTGATGGTTTTGCGGTGGAGTTTTACGTGCACAGCGTGAGCTGACCATTGTTCATTGATCTATCGACATGTTGCGTTGAAGTGTAATTATTTTGTTACTGTGAATTGCATTGCTTGTTTTAAGATGGTTTAGTTGAGGTGAAAAACCTACGGCAATGTGCCAACTAGGAATACAAGTAGCTGACTGTTTGCTTTGTACAATAGTTTGTACATTGTGGCAGGCATTGTACTGCAGGTGGATCTGGGCTTGGATCTACGTTTTGGTTGGGCTAGATTATTTGTAGGCCGTGTTCAACTAGAGGCATGTGTTGGGTGGGCCGGCAAAGTTAGGCCTCAATTCCTCCATCACCTTGGGCCAGGTTAGTGGGCTGTAGGGAATCGACAATGCGATTGGTGGTAAGCTTGTCATACTCAATAGGAATAAGTTTATCATAGGTCCCTTAACTTGTCAACGAATCCGATTTTCATCCTCCAACCGAAAAACCAGATACAACGACTCCCTCAGCTGTCAAAACCAGCACGTATGAGGTCCCTTAGCGGTTTGGATGGTGGTTTTGACTGACATGGCGCCTACGTGGCTAATTTGACTCGTTCTTCATTTGACGTGGCGCTTATGTGGCAATTCGATCTAAGAAAAATAATAAACCCGTGAGACCCACATGTCAGTTTCACACATGAATTAATAAAAAATGGTGGGGCCTACGTGGGCCCCACATGTCAATCTCACTCCCCTCCCCTTCTTCCTCCTCTCTCCCCATCTCCTCTCTCAGGCGCAACAGAGAGGGCGCAGCGCACGCCCTCCGCCGCAACCCGCCTCCACCACCGTCGTCATCCTCCACCACCTCGACCCCGCCGGCGCCGACATCGCAGTAGACGAGCAATGACACGGGGACGAGACGAAGGAGGACAAAAACGGGAGGCTGGCGGCCTGCATCTCCTTGGCATGCTTCCATGTCCCATCGAGGAGTAGCAGCGTCGGGTTGGCTCGCGCGGGCGGAGGCGTGTATCGGCACCAGGAAGCGAGGTCGACGGCGTCCGGCGAAGGGAAGAGCAGGAGGACGAGGCTCAAGATGAGGGGGCCGGAGCCCGGAGGAACTAGGAAGGGAGGAGGCGGCGGCCGGGGATGATGAGGAGGTTGGAGAGGAAGCAGGTGAGGAGGGGCCGCTCCCTCCTCTACCGCCGACATCTCCGCGCGCCGCTCCCTCCTCTCCCGCCGACGTGGCGTCGGAGGAGCGCCTCCGTCGCGGGGAGGACGAGCACGAGCACCCGCGCTGACGTGGCTCTTGTGGCTCCTCGCCGCGAACCCGCGCTGCGAGCGTCGCGTGCACGAGGAGGTGTCGCGGCACGCGGACGCTCGCCGCGCCGACGCCGGAGAAGACGGCGACTGCGACGGATACGACGAGCTGAAGCGGATGCACTACCTGCACGGCTGCACGCGACCATCAGCGAGGTGATGCGGCTGTACCTCCTCCTCTGTCCCCCTCTCTCCCAGCTTCTCTCTCTGCCAACGAGAAGAACGAGTTGAAGACAGACGGTCAGTCGGGCAGTCATTGACACCGGCGGCAATGGCGGCGGCCTTGGCGAGCATGGACGACGACAACAACTTGGGTCACTAACATGTGTGTTTTTCGTCTCCGTGCCAAATCTGACATGGTTGCAGTCTTGCAGATGGCCGGCCTCACTGTAGTGAACACGAGCTCATGCATGTCTCGAGCAGCAGCAGCAGCAACTGCTTGTTGGTGCCTGCCACTAATCCTGTTGGCTGTTTAGCTCGATCTGTACACTAATCCTCGCTGTACTGAGCTCGAACTCCGCCTCTCCTCCTCACCGCTGTGCAGCATCTAACATGATGTGGCGGCGCGGGAGTAGGCACCGACCCCGCGGCCTGCCGCCGCCGCCGCCGCCGCTTCTCCGCTTCGTCGGCATGCTCCTGCCGGCTGTGAGGCGGTGCCGCGGCGCGAGGAGATGGCTTGATGAGGAAGAGGGAGAGCTGAGAGGGGAGAGGGAATGACATGTGGGGCCCACGTGGGCCACGCTATTTTAAAATTATTATTTTTAGCTGACAGGTGGGCCCATGGTTTTTATTATTTTTTTAGATATAATTGCCACGTAAGCGCCACGTCAATATCATGTGGGACGGAGACCTAGTCAAACCAGCCACCAGCCACGTAGACGCCACGTCAGCCAAAACCGCCTTCAAAACCGCCGAGGGATCTCATTTACACCGGTTTTGATAGTTTAGGGACCGGTTATATCTGGTTTTAGGGTTTAAGGATGAAAATCGGATTTGCGTAAAATTAAGGGACCTCAGATGAACTTATTCCTACTCAATAAGAACAAGTTCACTAGGTCCCCCATTTTTTGTTGAGTCCGAAATGCATCCCGAGACCACATAACCAGATACAACGTATCCTCAAACTTATAAAATCAGTGCAAACGAGATTTATAATATTTTCTCTGGTTTTGGTTGAAGTGGCTCCTTTGAAAGTCTTTATCCCACGTGTCATTAATGTGATGCTTATGTGGCAATTCAATCTGAAAAATAATAAAAATCATAGGGTCCATGTGTGAGATACACACACAAAATCCTTTTAATTATGGGATGGAGGTAATAGGATGGTGTGACAGCGCATGGTTACTGCTTAATACTAAGAGCCTTGCTTGGGAAATTTGTATTTCTTTTCCCCTGTAAAACCATTACACATGTTTTCCTATCTGCTTGCAAGGTTGTTTGAACGGTAACAGAGGGAGATAATCGGAGGGGAAAGAGGGAATTCTTGACCTCCTTGAGGAAGATGAATTGTTTGCTGGCTCTTGCTCGCCATTGACTGGCCGCGCGGATCGACGCCGAAAGAGCACTAGCCAAGGACATTGACGATGAACAGAGACTGGTTGAGCGGATCAATGCTAGGGACTGGGAGGCAGGATCGAGATAGTACTCGTGCGGAGAAAATACTGTATTACTCCTTCCATTTTAAATGTGCGGTATCGTTGATTTTTTGACATAACGTTTTATCATGCATCTTACAAGAAAATAAGCATCATTTATTTTGTTGTGATTTGTTTTATCTTTAAATAAAATATAATTTTAACTTATTCTTTTATATATTTATATTAAATTTTTACATAAAATAAATGGTTAAATGTTATACGAAAAATAGCGTCATATATACTTTAAAAAGAAGGCAGTAGAATTTTCGTAGTTGGGCTCAATAAACCCGGAAGATTACATTGGTTTCGGGCCGAAAATCAACCATCCAGGCACTAGAGTTTATACGTCATTTGAGGTCCTCATCTAGTCATCTTTGATCACTAGAGTTTATGCTGTTTTGCTCCTAAATTAGTCAATGGCTGGATTTGGTTAGGTTCTTAGAATCTGAAGTCAAGGCATCAAAGCAATCAGAGCAAGGTTAAAGAATGATCAAAGGAATATAATCATGGTAGAGACCATCAAATTAATATAAGTGATTCATTAAATATAAGTGATGTAGTAGTACTTAGCTATTCAAAAAATATTCTGTACTTGAGTTGACTTTTGGAAGGGAGAAATTAGGCCCATTTGATAGGAATTCCTCATGACCATTGCTTATACACGGAAGATACATGATCGATGCAATAAAAATTAATTTTGGGTTAGTACTAGTACACTTATATTATAGGTGATTGTTGACAGAAAACATGAGGCCTGGGAGATCTGCTTAACTCCAGTGTAGGTCCAAAGCTCGCCTTCAAATGTACGAGCGTGCCAGTTGATTTGATCCTGTAATCAACAAGAAATAGAGACAAAGAATTCGTGGTTAAATCTATAAATGATAGCCGATCGGCTAGGTGCTGATGGCATATCATTTATCTTTAAGCCGATGTCATATATGAATCGATCGGCGGTTATAAATAGATAGTAAGGAGCTAAATCTATTCGATCGGCTGTAGATATTAACGATATATAGTTCTTATATTAATATATACTTAAATCAAGTGATTGGGATGGATCGGTCACCATGCCGAGACAGTATAAATCACTTAGATCGAAATATATATTAATAACAGGATTATATATGTTTATAGCATAGCCGATCAGATAGATCTAGCATGTATCGGCTAATACTCCGATACTACTTTATATAAAGATATCAAAACAAATATAATATACCAAACAAAAGCTTAATATACTTAAATGCAATAAGATCCTGACATAAAGGGCGGATTTAACATGTCATTGAAGCATATAGATCGAATATGGTTAAATCAGATAAGATCGGCTGAAACTCCGATACTACCCTAATCGGCAACCAGAGAACAGGCTAGAGATTGATATTCTAAGCACGACTTAATAGATCAAACTCAACTGATGCAGCATTAAGTATGAAAAGAAGAACAATATTTAGACAATCAAGCCGTTGGGCGTTTCATAAAGTGGTAGATATCTTATATGATCTAGGACAACGTCGCTATTTAACCTAATCGGCTGCCTTCTATTAACAGATGTTAGCCGATTATAGATTAGATGACGATATTGCCAAGGATTATGTAAGATATATGATAACTTGACGAATTATATAGACAAGATTAGAGTGTCATAAAGATGGAAGCGCTAATCACGAGAACACAAGTCGTCATAACAAGTTTTACCTCTTGTTGAAGATCGAAACCGATGCAGCTCAACCCGAAAGCAAGAACTCGTCGAAACAAAACTAAAGCAAAAAGGTGGCGATGCGCCGAGATTGTATTGAACGTGTGTGTTCAAAATTACATAGGGCTCGGGGTCTATTTATACCCGAGAATTATAAGATATGTCCATACCGGACACGACCACTATCTCTAACAAACTCTAAGATACCATAAGTCTTTGCGGCAGACTTTTGCCCAAACATATCTCTAAGGAAGTTACATAAAACATCCTAATTAATAGATACAATTGCCTTCTCAAGACTCTATCCATGTGCGGCAATCATCTTGAAGCACCTCAATTCAACCCAATGTCAAACACCAAATTATACTGTTAGAATCGGCTACATCGGCTCACTTAGTCCGACTTAGACCCAGCCGATCTTAATCGTAGCCGATCTGGACTTCAGCCGATTCTTGCTCTATTCTCGGATCAATCTTCGCCTTCGACTCCACCTTGATCTAATCTCCTTTTCCGATGCTGATATTGCCAAATTTGGTCGTTAATAGTGATCCAAAAGTCAAGACCGAGCGATGAAAACGACTAAAAAAACATGCAACAATTATAAAATGAACTCCAAAAATCAGGATTAATGCAACTTACAAAACCAGCAGGCTCTAAAAGCAAAACAATTTGGTCCCCTTCTCTTTTTTAGGGAAAAAAACGTAGTATGTTGAACAGAAATGCAATTTGTGGTCCTTTGCATGTAGTGTGTAGTTATACAACATTCGATATATTTTAGATAGATTAGTTTGAACGGAGGGGAAAGAAGAAGATTAAGATAGGTAAAATGAGGTGGATAATTAACATATGATTAATAACTTAGTATGAATTATTTTAAATTTAAAAATAATCAATATGATTTTTAAAACAATTTTTATATAGGATTTTTTTTGTAAAGAACACATCGGGCATCTACGGGCCTCCGCTTTGCTCCGGCAGAAGCTGTCTTTTATTATGTGTAAATGAATTCAAATCACAACTCAACACACGTGTTAAAAACGACGGGTTTTTCTCATGCTTGTACTTGGAACAAACACAGCCTTAACCCTTAAGTAATTTCGTAGTGTGAAAGTGCATGTAGCCTAGTGGTGCCTTAACCCTTAAGTAATTTCGTAGTGTGAAAGTGCATGTAGCCTAGTGGTTGCAGTGACCTGAGTAGCACCCTAAGGTCCTGAGTTCAAATCTCCATAGGAGCGAATTTTAGATTGGGTTATTTGAGGGCTAGTTCCCTGTTCTATAGGCTAAGTTCATATTTTAAAAAAATGCTAAAAAAATACTGCATATATCCGGTTGGATATAAAGACCGGGTAAAAAAAAAACCCTTCTCTTAAAAAAAAAAGTAATTCCGTAGTTGCATATATACATCAGTCGGTCTCTGAAGTGCACATCTGAACCTCCACCTCTATGATATCCAAATCAAATATCCCTTATATTTCAGTGCAACAGTTACTGCATTGGTACTTTACAGTTTCCACGTTGCAATGAGCTAGCCAATTAATTATTGCCGAAAATACGCTAACGATCGATGGTTTCGACAAATATGAGTTCAGAGTATCAGTTTCTGATGGACAACCGGATTAGGTAGAGGGCATTCTTCAGGAGGACAATTAAGAGATCAATACAAATCCGACTTGATGTTTATCTGGCAATAGATAATAAATTTTCGACCACGATGTTTATCGAGCAATAGAGATCAATACAATTATGTTTGATAGACAAGTCCTATATTTTTTATTTATTAAAACACATTTGGGTTTATAATACGGTTATAACAATACTCTAATACAACTTATACTGCTATACACAATTAACAGTTTAGATTTTTGGTGACTACAGCACTCCCTCCGTTGTTAAATATATAATTTATTTTTATTCGGTTAAACTCTTAAAACTTTGAAGCTTTCTAATAATATATTTAGTTTGAAAGCATAAAAATCGTTTAGGTATATTACTTTTTAAGATATTATCATTATATCCTAGTAAAGCAAATAGTGGTCAAAATTACAAACTAACTGGATAAAGTCAGCAGCGCAAATATATAGGAACCATTTAAATAAGGTCGTAATTGACAGCTTCCTGAGTATAAACATGGGGCTCATTTTAGCCTTTGTTTTAGTGATGTAATAGATAAATACGAATATCATGTCTTCTGCTAGGTGCTAAGCTTAAATTTCAGATAACAGTGCAGAAATTTTCTATCTTTTTTTTTCTTTCCCAATTCACGTGGTAGTTTTTAGTCCTTGAGAGCAAACGTTGGCTCCTCTTAAGTGCTAATTTCCACGTGATTGTGCACGGCTATGCTACCGTTTAATTGAAAGAAAAAAATGTATCGTTTGATTTGAGGTATTTTCAGTAATCGATAAAATAAATTAAAGTGTTTTTCTGGTGCAAAGGTATTGAGAATTGTAACAAAGTAATACTGAATCAAATTATACTACAATCCTACTTATTCTGTTTTAAAATATAACAACCTTCGAAATTAGTCATAGATATTAAGAGAATATGTAGAATTAAATGGGAAAAAATTCAAAACAAAGTATAAGAAGAAATTAAATAAAATATGGTTCTGATCAACTAAAATGTGAGAATAGATGAATAAATCATTATATTGTAAAATAATTTTTGAATTCTAGTTATATTTAAAACCGAGTAAGTAGGAAATATATATAGTACTACTCTTTCCGTGTTTGAAAATATAACTACTTCTAGTATTTAACTTTGCCTTAAAATATAGCTGCTCAACTTATCTCGTCATATTAAACAATTACAATATTCTACCATTTAATTTATCCACCTACTTAGCATGTACAATACATCACCTATACATCACCTATGTACTAACTCTAGAGCATTGCCGTCAACAATTTCATTGTTTTTGTTTTTTAAAAAAATAGAGATAATTTAAACCGTAGATCAATCATTTAAGAATTAGAAATAATTGAGACCATGTGACTTAACGAGAGAAAAGAGAAATATCATTAACTATATTTAGTGGGATGAACTTTATAGATATATAGGATTTGCATTGGATTTAGACTCCTATGCCTGTTAATTGTATCTCCACAGGAACGGGGGGATGGAGGATCATCCCCGTCCCGCCACCGCCAGACCCAACACGGACGTGTTTTCCTCCATTTGATTACTCGTAACCATCTCCATTCTTTCATCCTCATCTCTAATGGAGAATTTCCCGTGGAGAATCGGGAAACAAGCCCCATTCCCATCCTAGATGTGTTGTATGGTCTTGGTTTACACGCACCACAAATTAAGTGTAGTTTAACTTATTAGACTTTTTTTTTTGGAACCAGTCAACTCGGGTTCAAGTCATAGTGGTAGGCGACACACACATCGATAATGATATGACCATGGTGATTTCGTCAATCTCAATACATGTCGGTCTGATGTATATGCTTCTATGTTTGAATTGTGTTTTGAGAAAAAAAGGGAGCATTTTGTAAGTTCATGCCCTTATTGCATTATTCAGTAGAATTTATATTAGATAGAGACATGTTAGCACGCGCCTCATGTGTTTAATAAACAATTCCTCGTGTGGATTTCGGCAGCGCCTGTTCCATCTTCTTCCTCATCGATCGCTATTGTGATGAAGTGAGATCCTAATTACGCCAGCTTACCATGTCTGCAGAGAAAACACTACACTGAATTGATGGAGTGTCTCCTGCCAGCACGCAGTATGGTCCTTAGTACTCCCTCCATACTAAAGGAGTCGTTTAGTATAATGTTTAAGTCAAACCTTGAAAATATAAATCATAAATAGCTCTTAATTTCTTGAGTTTGAAAATGTAAAAATTATATGAATGTATTTGTCTTGAAAAATACTTTCATAAAAGTATACATATATCACTTTTCAATAAATATTTTTATAGAAATAAAGAGTTAAAGTTGTGTTTTGAAGACCGTGTCGCTGTCCTAAACATCGGGAGTACTCCACTACTACCCCTCCCGTTCATCACTCTATAAATACCCGTTAGAGCTGCAGCTACTGGAGGCAATTCAGCTAGCTCATTCTGAACCCCATCTCTCGCTGGAATGGGGATCAGAATGGGAAGGCGACTCCTCTTCACCTTGTTCTTGGGAGCTCTGTTCTGCAATGGCGTTTACGCCAAGTTTACCCGGTACAGCTTCCCCAAGGACTTCATCTTCGGCACAGGTTCAGCAGCTTATCAGGTACATATGACATGTTGGAATTCTGAAGCTCAATATCAGTTGTGTCACTGCTCAACTAGCCATGTTTATGTTATATAGTGATGTAATTTGTAGCTGGATACTCATCAGTTTATCCTGGGATTGGTTTTGATTACTTGCAGTATGAGGGCGCCTACAAAGAAGGGGGCAAAGGTCCTAGCGTCTGGGACAACTTCACTCACATTCCAGGTTAATTCGTGAGGAAGTGCATCACAAAGCTTGTAATTAATTCTTCCGGTTTATCTGACAGACAGAAATTAACAATCCATATGACTGCAGGTAAAATTTTAAACAATGATAACGGCGATGTGGCAAATGACTTCTATCACCGATACAAGGTGACCTTCCATTTTGACTGACTGACGATGATTAACATCGAGTGTCTGAATTCTCTGAAACGGGTCATGTTTTGACAAATCCGATCAAATTTCAGGAGGATGTGAGCCTCCTGAAGGACATGAACATGGATGCTTTCCGGTTCTCCATTGCGTGGACCAGGATCCTGCCAAGTGAGTCTCAAAATTTTCTCCCCTTTTTTTTTTTGTTTTGCGAAACACAATATAAACGCAGACATGTGAGTTCCAAAGCTTGATGTTAATCACATAGCCACTGCGTGCAAATTGTAATTACTGCAGATGGATCCTTGAGTGGAGGAATAAACAAAGAAGGGGTTGCTTTCTACAACAGCTTGATCAATGATGTCATAGCAAAAGGTGATCACTAACTTTTATTCCAAAAACGCAAAAAAATATGAACTAATTTTGACAACATTTCTGTATCACATAGGGATGATCCCATTTGTCACTATCTTCCACTGGGACACCCCCTTGGCTCTGGAAAGCAAATACGGAGGATTCCTCAGTGAAGACATAGTGTAAGTTCTTTCTTGCTTACTGTACTTTCACAAACATTCTTGCAATCTCTCGAGAAAAAACCTTTAATTCCCGAGTGATTTTACAATACTATTTAGAGAAATTTTATGGTCCTTAAGAAAATACCTTGAGATACCAAATTTTACGCTAGAAAATATAGCACCTCACGATACATTCTCAAGGATGATAGTATCTACTGATAGTATTTTACTATTCTTACTATCAGTATTATCACCACCAATACAAGTGATCTCAACCGTTGATTTTCATTTAGTTCTAATACTAATAGAAAATATTATTATTATATATCAATAGTTGAGATGATATTATAAATAGGTAATATTATTATTATACCATCATTAGAGATAATATTATAAATAGATATGACCCATTATATTAGAAAAATATAAACTATCTTTCAATTGATTTTAATATTAGAAAATACCACTTTAAAACACCCTTGCTCAACATGTGCAGGAAAGAATACGTGGACTTCGCGGAGGTGTGCTTTCGCGAGTTCGGCGACCGTGTCAAGTACTGGACCACATTTAATGAGCCATTCACATATAGCGCCTACGGCTACGGCAAGGGCGTGTTTGCGCCGGGACGATGCTCTTCATATGTTTCCAAGTCATGCGGCGTCGGTGACTCCAGTCGCGAGCCCTACCTCGTGGCACACCACATCCACCTCTCCCACGCTGCCGCTGTCCAGCTTTACCGCACCAAGTACCAGCCAACACAGAAGGGACAGATCGGCATGGTGGTGGTCACCCACTGGTTCGTGCCGTACGACAACTCCGACGCTGACCGTGGCGCTGTGCAACGGAGCCTAGACTTCATCTATGGGTGGTTCATGGACCCTATCGTGCATGGTGACTACCCAGGCACCATGAGAGGTTGGCTCGGCAATCGGCTGCCAGAGTTCACGCCTGAACAGTCGGCGATGGTGAAGGGCTCCTACGACTTCATCGGAGTTAATTACTACACCACCTACTACGCTAAGAGTATACCGCCGCCTAACTCCAACGAGCTATCCTACGACCTCGACAACCGCGCCAACACCACCGGCTTCCGTAATGGCAAACCCATCGGTCCACAGGTGCGTACGTGACTACGTGTACACATATACCCACATCGATCCATCCATTTTACTGAGGAATTCAACGTACGCGAATCCTTGTCATGTCTAGGAATTTACACCGATCTTCTTCAACTACCCTCCAGGTCTCCGTGAGCTCCTCCTCTACACCAAGAGGAGATACAACAACCCGACCATCTATGTTACAGAAAACGGTAAGAACATATAATCTTTCAACACTGGTCCTACAAAATTCATCCAAAATTAAACTTAAATATAGGTTGATCGAAAAGAACCATATCCTCAATTAACTCAATTAACATGTATATATACTAAATCGTTCGCGAACATCGAAAGGCGTAAAATTTGTGTGCAATGTGTACAGGCATCGATGAGGGTAACAACAGCACACTGCCAGAGGCGCTCAAGGATGGACACAGGATCGAGTTCCACTCAAAGCACCTGCAGTTCGTCAACCACGCCATCAAGAATGGGGTGAACGTGAAGGGCTACTTCACGTGGACATTCATGGACTGCTTTGAGTGGGGTGACGGCTACCTTGACAGGTTCGGCCTCATCTACGTCGACCGCAAGACGCTCAAGCGCTACCGCAAGGAGTCCAGCTACTGGATCGAAGACTTCCTCAAGAGGCACTGATCCAGCCCCACAAAATTTCGGATTGATCACGAGATCGATCGGCTGGCCACCAGATTTGTGTTTCGTCAGTCTAGCTTTCAGCTGGTTAATTTGTGATTTGTGCATCAGTGGTGATGACCGATATGATGGCGTGATGAATTATGCTGCATTACTATTGAATGTGTACCTCAGTACCTGTGCATCATTGCTGGCTGATCCCATTGAGCCGGACAATAATAAGAAGAAACAATAATGCTCCCTGTCGAGCAGTGTTGGGCTGGTTCAGGCTTAATTAATATCGTCATTGATGAGATCAACTGAACCCTCCTCCAATCATCTTTGAATAATTGATGCTATATACTCTGCTAGCTAAACAGAATACTCGATATCTCACACAACTACGGTGATGTTTTTTTTTTTCCTAACGAAGATAAAAGATAATAAGGTTAGAGCAAGTAAAATAGAAAAAACCATTTAACATATAGGTGTGTTCGTTTGTGCTGTATATTACAGATGTTGGGCTGAGCCAGCTGTATTAACAATACAAGTAGCATAAAATTTACTGCACAATTTGTAGCTGTTGCGCTGTGCAGCCACAACTATCTCCTCCAAACACATCCATACTCCAAACACATCCATAGTTAATTACTCCATCCATTTTAAAATATAGCAATCTAGCACTGCACAGGACATACATCCTATTTCAAAGAATCTGATCATAAGTATGTCTATCTAGATTCGTTGGATTTAAATGTGTCTTATCCAATTTTGGTTTTTAATTATTATAAACTTAAAAAATAAATTTATTTGATATTCTAAGTAATTTTTATATAAAAAGTTTTTGCACGAAACACACCGTTTAACCATTTAAAAAAACGTGTTAAACCAAAAACCGATGTAAAATCTATATCTCAATCGAGGGAAAAAAAAGCCACTGACGAGCGATGACCGATGAGTGCCGCGCTGCTTGCCTTTGCTGCATGCCATGTGTGCCAACGGAAAGTTGCAGACGTTCTCCGGTCCGGCGGTTTTGGCTCTGCGCGCCAACAAGTTGTTCGCTCTCGCGCGCGCGGCGACAAGTGCACCACCGGCCGGGCCCGTGCCAATCGCCTTCGCCTACGGCACCAACTACACCGCCGCGCGCACCTCGCGCATGCGTGTACCGTATACGGAAACGCGCGACGCGGCGCGAGGCGGCGAGGCGTTGTGCGCCGCGTCCATGCTCGATCGCTTCGCCTCTCGCGCGCGCTGTGCAGCCTGCAGGGGCTCCACCTCCATCGGACACCGATCGAGACCGACGAGACGCGCCGGCCCGGCCGCGTGTTCCGCGTGGTGGGGAAAAGGAAGCGCGCGGCGCGTGGGCCGTGACATGCTCGCGCGTGGAAAGAGACCGCGGGGGCGCCCCGGGGGGGGGGGGGGGGGGGGGGGGGGGGGGCGGCCTCGGCGCGTGGCATCACGCGCGTCGCCCGTGAGCCCCCGGGCCCCGTCGATCGGGTCACGTCCCTCGGCGTTGGTCGGCCTGCCTCCTGCGTACCTACAACCAACTTTATCAGTGACGTAAAAAATAGGCAAAATTTACTACAGAGCATCTAAAAAACGTGTAATTAGCTTGTTGGACACCGTAAGATTGCGAATTTGCTATAGGGCACCATCAAAAAGTGGTAATTAGCTGGTAGACACTTAGACCATTATTTTATTATTTTTAGAGGAAAAGAGATGAGAGAATTTTTGAATTGCCGAGAATGCCCCCGGTGGCGCACCACGTTATCCCGATCGGTCCGGTCGAACCAGACCCAGTCGGTCTTGCCGAGCGGCGTGGCCAGAGCGGCGGCGCGACAAGTGGCCAGCCCGCGATGGCGTCAACCGCGTCTCGCCATCGTCACTGCGGTTGTAGCTCTCGCTTCCGCTTCATGTCGCGTCCAGTAGCGGGTAGTGTTCGATCGCGAGCGTCTCGTCTCCTTTTTCTCCTCGCATCGCACGAGCGGTTCGCTTTGGGCTATAGCGCTCTCTCGGCGTGGACGCGACGACACCGAGTCACCGACGAACGAGAGCACGCATGACGCCGACGCTGACGCCATGGACGAGCAGAGAGTTGCTGCTTCTGCTGCTTACTTGCTCGCCGTGCTGGTTTTGAGCCTCGTGGTGTCCGACTTGTCCTCTGCCGGTGTGGCGCCCACGCCGCCGGAGGTTCTTTCTTCCCCAGCCGCCGCCGGCGAAGGTGCTGAACACGAAAAAAAGAAAATAAAAAAATTCTTTGATCGCAAGCCGTGTCTTCTCATCTTGTTTCATCTTTGATTGGTTTCTTAGCTCATACCATTCTTTCTTGCTTGAATCATGATGATAAAAGTTCTTCCAAATATATCAATCTTTTCTTGATATATTTCAAATTTGCAAATGAAAATTTTCACTTCTTGCTGCACTCACCCGGTTTTTCTTGCTGCATTCGCGTGCGCCTTGCAGCGGAGGCGTTGCTGGCCGTCAAGGCAGCACCGCATGACACGGCCAACGTCCTCGCTGACTGGAACGCTGGTTTCGGCGTCAGTGACGGCGGCCCGTGCAACTGGAGCATGGTAGCCTGTTCCGAGGCCGGCCATATGGACGGGAGCACCGGGATGCCGAGGTGGGCGTCGGCGCGGTTCTTGGGCTACGACATCGATCTCTCCCACGCCGGCAGCGACGACCTCCGCGCGCTGAGACGAGGAGCGGGTGATGGTGTTCACGACGCGCCGGCGGCAAGGAGGGCGTGGGCGCAGCTGTATTGCAGCCGGGTCGGCTCGACCGGACCTAGTCGGGATAACGTGATGCGCCACCAGGGCATTCTCGGCAATTCAAAAATTCTCTCACCTCTTTTCCTTTAAAAATAATAAAATAATGTCTTGAGTGTCTACTAGCTAATTATCACTTTTTGGTGGTGCCCTACAGTAAATTCGTGATCTTACGGTGTCCACTGGCTAATTACACGTTTTTTTGGATGTCCTATAGCAAATTTTGCCTAAAAAATAAGGGTCTGTTTAGTTCTTAAACCAAATTATTTTACGCCGTCACATTGAATGTTTGGACACATAAATAAAGTATTAAATGTAGAAAAAAAGATTAATTACACAATTCGCCAGGAAATTACGAGACAAATTTTTTAAGCCTAATTACACCATGATTTGATATTATGGTGCTACAGTAAACATTTGCTAATGGTAGATTAATTAGGCTTAATAAATTCGTCTCGCGGTTTCCTGTCGGAATCTGTAATTTTATTTTGTTATTAGACTACGTTTAATACTTTAAATGTGTGTCCGTATATCTGATGTGACATGTAGGGATAAATTCTTTTGCCAACTAAACAGGCTTAAATCGAGAACGAGATAACGATATACTCCCTCCGTACTCATAAAGGAAGTCGTTTAGCACGGCGACACAGTCTTCAAAATACAATTTTGACTTCTTGTTTTATGAAAGTATTTTTCAAGACAAATCTATTCATATAATTTTTATATTTTTAAACCCAACAAATATTTTTAAACCCAACAACTAGAGAGTTATTCATGATTTATATTTTCAAGATTTGACTTAAACATTGTCCTAAACGACTTCCTTTACGAGTATGGAGGGAGTGGAGTACTCTTTGTAGTTTGTACTATGAATCATGTTTATTTTTATGGGATGGGGAAAGTACATAACGTGTTACTATCTATTTTGTATTATAAGTTTCTTTGAATTTGTTCTGATCACCGACACGATATTGTCTTCAGGAATGAACCCCCGTGCCTTCACCGACTGCTTCGCCGCTGCATGGATGAAGCAACCATCTAGGCGGAAAGAATTAAGAACTCGGAACGCTTTGTGATCTCTGCTTGCAAACAAGCTTTCTCTAGCCCTACTAACTCTAAATCAATGTAAAGGCACGATGCTACCGTTCCTCAGGCTCTGTAACTCCCATATTTTCACCTATCAATGAAAAATTCAGGAAAAAATTATTATTTTTTTAAAAGAAATTAATTAAATATATAGAAAAATATAGCAACATTTCTAACACTAAACAAACATATTATTAAAATATATTTAATTATTTTTAATAAAACTAATTTCATATTATATTGTAGATGTCAGATTTTCCTATAAGTTTGATAAACCTAAAATTTAGCTTTAAAAAAGTTAAAATAACTTATAATATGAAATGGAGGGAAGAACTAACATTAATGAAAAACTGATCTTTACTCGGATGGCAAAAACCACATTTGTCCCGGTTCTAATTGGATCCGTACTAAAGAATATCTTTAGCCCCAATTCAAAAGCCCAATGGCAATACCAATTGGGACTAAAAATCACTTTTAGCCACAGATCAATAGCTGTTAGGCCTTGTCAGGCCCCTAATGATCTTTAATCCCGGTTGGTGTTACTATTCCGGACTAAAGATGCATTAACACGGACTAAATATTGATCTTTAGTTCTGGTTGGTGTCAAACTAAAGATATTTTTAGTCCCAATTGGTGTTACCAACCCAGACTGAAGATGTCTCCAGGGTTAGTTTAAAAATTAATATTTAGTCGGACTAAATATATTTTTAGTCCCAATTGGTGTCACCAATCTAGACTAAAAACGTTTCCAAGGTTAGTTTAAAAAAATCATCTCTATCAAAGTCAAATATGTGTAGTAGGTGGGATGGTAACGTGCGTAAGGAATGAGGTGAGAAATCTTGAGTTTAAATCCCACACCCACAGATTTTTCTGACTTGCTATGCATCTTTAGTCCATGATTAGATGTTCCGGTTCCCTGAAAGATTACTAACCGGGAGTAAAGCTCTCTTCCCCAGCAATGTAACTGGGTAAGTTTAATGTGGGTTTGCGCCGACAGATCGATGGAAGGGGTGAGCGATGAGCCGCGTTTCAGTTTGCTGCACGCCAGTAAACCCATGTGTTCCTGCATTCCCTAATGTGGTGTCGGCGTCGGTGTGCAGTGTGCTGAACTTGCTGTCTGCTGATATCTTACAAGCTGGGGGCCGGATAATTGAAAACAAAACAGGAGGAAGATATTGCGATCTAGTATAATCATGAATCGATTATTGCAGAACAGTCAATTGTTGTTAGAATCGCTGCTTTATCGTACCAATGCCACGCAACGTACAGTGTTCTTGATAGATCTGAGAAACTCCAGCCTACGTACGTTGGTTGGTTCCTGTCGTGACTAGGTTAGGATTGATTCGATTCCTCATTCGGTTAGAGTTTGCTTTGGATAGTAGGTGATACCACGTGAGTTGCAGCGGGCACATAAGTGAATTTGAAAAGATATGCAAGCTAAAGAAAAAGGGAAATTGATTAAAATCGGGCGACCGGGGGAGGTGGGAAAAATCGGTCGCTCCCCCTCCCCCATGCGCGCGCTCCCTTCTCCCCATCTGGACCCACCCACTTATCCCTCCCTTTGTTACACAAAAGATGTTTCACCAAGTGTACTTATAATGTTTCACTATGTATAGATCTAATGTTGCAGTGAACTGAAATAATCTATTGTAACAAAAAATCCACATATTTTGTAAACCCTCTATCAAGGGAATTTGGTTTATTTGTTGTTCCACCGAAAGATGTTTCACCTAGTGTACTCACAATGTTTCACTATGTATAGATCTAATGTTGCAGTGAACGAGACATTCCATTGCAACAAAAAACCCACATATTTTGGAAACCCCCTATTAAGGGAATTTGGTTTATTTTTTGTTCCACCAAAAAATATTTCACCTAATGTACTCACAATGTTTCACTATGTATAGATTTAATGTTGCAGTGAACTGAAATATTCTTTCGCTATTTGTTGAAACATTATTTTTATATAAGGTGAAACAACACTCAATTTAAACGAGTGAAACATTTCGATCTAGTTAGTGAAACAATTCCGATATACCTGGTGGAACATCATGCAACATTTAAAAATAATTCAATAATAAGCTATTTTTTCGTCGGAATTTATCCATGTGTGGTCTTGTTTTGAAGATTTAATTGCAATGAATTTAATGGTGCAATCGAATTATGATTTGGATAAGTAATTTAGGAGAAAAATCAGTTTAAAGTAGTTTTGCACGTAAATCGGACGCTGACGTCAGCGCCCGATTTTTCTTGAAATCATCGGACGCCCGAGCCGTAAACAGCCCCAAGAAAAAGGGACAAAAAAAAAGGATAAAAGTACTGATTTTTCGGTTGCATGATTTAGGACATCAATATATATAGTCTTCAGTTAAAAGCTGCAGGAAAGAACATCCCGTAATTACGATGATGAAATGCACTTATGAATGTGAACAGAAGAGAATTAAAGACAGTTTCATATCAGCTGAGATCTTCTCCTAGCCCTTTACCAAGATGATCCAATGATCAAGATTTTTTTGGTGTTGTGGTAAACGTATGTTGAGATTTTGGTTCAAGTATATATGATACATAGATAGATATAGACATGAATGGAGTTGATTACTAGGACTGAGATATACTTAGGATGTACTCTCTGTTTCACAATGTAAAACTTTATAGTACTCTATATATATATATATATATGTTAATGAATCTAAACACATACATATGTCTAGATTCATTAACATCTAATAAATATAGACAATAATATAAAATCTTATATTGTGAAACGGAGGAAGTACCGTATAGCGGAACAGGTAGAACAAGCGATCGGTGTAAGCGGCTGGTAAGTATAACCAACTTAAGGTCGATGATACTATAATACACTATAACTAAGTTAGATTTAGAGAGAGACATTCTTGTCGTACCGTGGAACTCGACAAGGCTAAAGGACTGGCATCGCTCATCCACCTTTTTTTTCCCTGCATGCATTTTCTTTTCGTGCTTAGCTCATCTTAATTTCTTTCCTTTGCGAGAGCATGCCAAATCTAATGTGGTGTGGGAATACGATGAAGACAGATGGCCCACATGTTTGTTTTATTTTATTTATTTATTTGCGAAAACAAATTTGAATATGTTTTATATATATATGTAAAGTTTATGTGTAGACCCTTTCTATATGTTTAAACTTTTTTTGTGTATAAAGTTTGTCCCCACAAAATATATATTTATAAATTTTCACATATAAGTTTTAGTTCCTCTGCTTCATAATGTAAATCATTCTAACATTTCTCATATTTATATTAATATTAATGAATCTAGATATATTGATGTTAATGTAGGAAATGTTAGAATGACTTACATTATGAAATAGAGGGAGTACATATATAAAGTTTTTATATATTTTTTCAACACATTGCTTACTGAGCTTGAAAACTAGTAGACTCAACAGTCCAAATGCAAGCATATATTTGGGCACATGCGGTTGTGGGCTGAACGAGGAAAGGATAGTACGTGGGCTATAATGCTTCATGGGCTGAACACGTGTCTTCGGCCGCACGTAGGTTAATTTTTGTCATGTTGCACGCTGACTAGAGGAGCGCGAACGGGCGCCCTAATGTGAGATCAGCCGCGCGGTCAGTTTCTGATCCTATAGTCTCTTTCATATACTACATGTATATACATACGTATGCATAAACTTTAGGAACCTCCCGAACTATTGCGACAGTACGAATTACCCCCGAACCACAAAACCGGTTATATTACACCTCAATCTATTGATATCGGTTGAATTACCCCCCCCCCCCGACTCAATAATGAGCGGTTTTGCTCCTACGTGACATACACGTGGCGTCGACATGGAAATCCAATCCAAAAAAAAATAAAAGAAAATATAGGGCCCACCTGTCCTTACCTCTCTTCAGTCTTCCCCCTCCCCCCTTCTCTCTCAGGCACGCGTTGAAGGGCAGTGGGCGGCGGCGGCGGCGCGCGGACGGGTGGCGAGCGCGGCGGCGGGCGCGGCGGGTGGCACGGCAGGGAGTGGTGGGGCCGGGGCAGGCGGCGGGCGTGGCGGGGGCACGGCGGGCGTGGTGGAGAGGCGGCCGGTGGCCGGCGGGCGTGATGGCGCCCGTGCCCCCCTGTCACGGCGGAGGGCAACGAAGCGTGGCTGCGAGGCGGTTGGTGGGGGACGACGTCGCGGGGATTCGCCGTGAACGCCAACCTCCTCCCGCCGCTGCCGCCGCCGGCGACCGACCCGTGTCTGCGAATGGAAGACGTCGCGCTCGCCTCCTCCGCCGCACCCCGCCGCCGCTCGCCTCCTCCGCAGCACCTGCGCCGCCCTGCCTCACCGCCGCCGCCTAGCCTCCTCCACCCCCGCCTCTCGTCTCGCCGCCACGCTCGCCACTCTGCTGCCTCGCCTCCTCCGGCGCCCCCACCGCGCCCGCCCTGCCTCGCCGCCGCCGCCTCGCCTTCTCCGCCCCCGCCACGCTCGCCTCTCCGCCGCCTCGCCTCCTCCGCCCCTGCCGCTCGGCTCGCCTCTCCGCCGCGCCCGCCCTGCCTCGCCACCGCCGCGCTCGCCTCTCCACCGCCCCCACCGCGCTAGCCTCTCCTCCGCCCCCGCCGCTCTCCACCGCCGCCGCCTTGCCTCGCCTCGCCGCTGCTGACTCCGCGTGCGCTTGCTGCCTCGGCCGTCGCCGTCCAAAGGAGAAGAGGGAGAGACAGTGAGAGTAATGATAGGTGGGCCCTATATTTTCTTTTTTTTTACTGATTGGATTTCCACGTCGACGCCACGTGTATGCCATGTAGGAGCAAAACCGCTCAGTATTGAGTCAGGGGGTAATTCAGCCGGTATCAATAGTTTTGAGGTGTAATATAACCGGTTTTGTGGTTCGGGGGGATAATTCGTACTGTCGCAATAGTTTGGGGGGTAAATCGTACTTTTTCCTAAACTTTATATATAAAGTTTATACATATGTGTGTGTGTATATATATATATATATATAGACACACACACGAAAAAATATCCGTGCGTTGCTACGGGTAAAAACATTTTTTTATCCTATATGGCTCGTTTAGTTGGAAGGAGTTTTTATGAGGGATTGAGAGTTTAGAGGGATGAGGCTATTAAGTGTTTTATTTGGTTGGGAGATATGAGAATTTTGGTGGGATGGGGAATTGAGTAAGGAACTCCCTCCTTTTCAATACCTGGGTAGGGGAAGGTAATTGGAAGGGAATTCCTCCTTTAGTTTGTCTAAGCGAATCTCAGCCATCCGTTTTTATTAATGAACTAATCTCCAACTAAACTCCCTATCAATTTCCATCACCTCTACCAAACAAGATATTGAGATTAAAAATCAAATTCCCATCTTAATCTCATCATCAATTCCCTCGTGTAAACTCCCAATCCCCTTCCCTTGAGTTACCAAACAAGCCGATACATTATACTCCCTTGGTTTTGGACCGGATGCTTCTTTGTTTTTGGACCGGACATTCATTCCTTCCTTCCTTTTCAGCTCTAGTCCTAGAGTAGTCCACTACATCTATATGCTCGGCCTATCTCTCTTCGGCTCAGCCCACAAGTGGAGCTGTAGCCCTAGCTCGAACAGTCCTGTGCCTGGCCTACCTCTCTTCGGCTTAGCCCACAAGTGCAACTGTAGGCCTAGCTCGAACAGTCTCATGCCCGTGCCATGACGGAGCCAATCCACCCATCAAATCCAGTAATCTGGTCGAGCTCGCATAGTACCGTGTCCGTACGATGGTGGATTCGATCCTCTCCGTCAACTCGTGCCCGTACCATGACGGAGCCGATCCACCCATCAAATCCGGTAATCTGGTCGAGCTCGCATAGTACCGTGTCTGTACGATGGTGGAGTCGATCCTCTCCGTCAAATGCGGTCGAATCTTTCTCGATCTCCAAAATTGTTGAGAGATTTTGATCCACTCGATTCCCTTTTTCGTTTTTTACCAAAATCAAAGCAATCCGTAAAACTTGGAAAAAAAATGACGAACTGGAAGAGAAATTCAAGGGGAAAATGATAAGAGAGTAGTGGAGAATCGGTTTTTGCAATCAATTGGATGAGGAAACACATAAAAATGCAAATCGATATGGTGGCGGCGCTAGGATTCGGCCCAATGGAAAAACAGAAAAAAAATAGCGAAACCAGAAAAACGGTGAAAGAAAAAACGGCGCAAAGAAAATAAAACGAAAAAAAAAGAAAACGGACGAAAAAGCCCGGAAAAACGGTGAAAGAAAAAAGCGGTGAAAATAAAATAAAATTGGAAAAGGAAAAAAAAAGGAAACGGACAAATTTTTTTTTTGGCCGTGCCGGGCTTCCTTTTTACAATCGTTTTTTGCCGCACCTTTTTGTTCCGCTTTTTTAAGTAAGGATAGGAATCGGTCAGTTTTTTTTTGCCGCACTTTTTTTTTCGCCCCGGGCTTTTTTTAATTACAATCGGACTTTTTTAAAAAAAATTTATTAACAGAGGAAGGAAACATCTTAAACTTTTTAAGTAGTATATATAAGTAGATATTCTAATATGTATATACACATGTATAATGTATGTATATGGCATATACAAAGTTTGTATACGATGTATATAAAGTTTATATATGTATGCATACAAAATATACCAACTTTATATACGTATATATATACAAAGTTTGTACATCTATATATAAAAAAGTACACATATACGAAGTTTATATACACGTATACAAATTTTGTATACGTATACAAAATTTATATACGCATATACAAAATTTGTATATGTTTGTATTAAAAAAACCGAAAAACAAAAAAATACGGAAAGAAAAAAAAACAGAAAAAAAGCCATGCGCCAAAAAAAAAGTAACGATACTGAAAGAAGAAAAGAAAAAAAAAAAAAGAAACCGCGCGTATAAAAAGAGAAAAAAAAAAGAAACCGCGTGCCGCCTAGAAACCGTGCGAAAAAAACAAAAAAAAAAGGAAAGAAACTGCACGCCGCCCACGCCCCCCTCTCCACGCATGACACGTGTCCAGTCGCACGCCCCGCGCGACTGATCGTCTATTAGCGATTTCGAGCGCGAACATGCGCGCAATAAATCCACCTCATGAAAATTTATCAAAAATATCGTGCCTTTAAATGACTTATCTAGAATGAATCTTGATCTTATAGTGTTTTCCATGTTTGTATATAGATGACGACTGTGATGTCGGTTTTATATCATTACCTTACGTGTAAGGATCAAATGTCTCTCCCTTAATCCACATAGGAGGTATATTATTAGTATCCAAGTGAGATATAAAAAAAGGAATAGTTGTATTGATTATAATATAAGTATAGTGTGTACTTATATTATAATCAATACAACTATTTTTTTTTAATAATCACCAGAGACCAGAGGGGAGAGGTTTCCCAACTAAATTTCCATTGCCATTTGAAGAGGTTTACAAGTACAGAGGTCAGTTGTAACCAGCGGCACGCCATTACATGTGAAGAGAATTAATTGCGGTGTTGAAAATACATTTCCAGTTATAGCAACTAGGCGATCGTCGTGCGTAAGTCGTTATAGCAACTATTCCTTTTATTGCAACGTACATTATATATTTATACACCATTCGTACCAATCACAAAATACTTTAACTAAAAATTATAGGTGGTGCGTCCTCTTCAGAAGAATGAGAACGAAATCAGCCGCTATCATATATACATTCTATATATATAAAAAAAAACTGTACTTACATGTCTCAAGCCTTGAGCAGTTGCCCTCTCGTGCCCCTCATGCTGAACTAAACAAATCAATTTCAACGTCTTCTTGCTACTGTAGATGACAAATTCAACCGGTTAAAATCAAATATAATACGATATCTCTTCTCGAAAGTCTTGAGGAACTCGATCTCGGAATAGTGAGAATTGCCAATCAGGGAAGCAACGCCAACACATCTGCTGGCCTATGATCTGATCCGTTTATCTGCATCGCCAACTCTTCTCTATAAATACCCTTCTGAATTATGCTTCCTGCAGAGCCACTGCCCAGCTAAGCTGCTTGGCTTGATCAGTTCCAGTTTCGAGATGGCCTGGCTCGGAATCGGAATGGGAAGGCAGATTGTTCCTGTTCTTGTTTTCGTTGCTGTACTCTGCAGCGGTGTTGATGCATCGTTCAACAGGTACAGCTTCCCCAAGGATTTCATCTTCGGCACCGGCTCTGCAGCGTATCAGGTGATCCATACAGAGATAAATTTGTCCAAAACTCTTACATCTGCAAGAATGGTTTGAATCAAGTGCAATGCACATGGTTCTTGGTTAGTTCCTGAACAAATTCAGAGATGTATCCTTGCATTGCTTAATTACTTGCAGTATGAGGGAGCTGCTAAGGAAGGAGGTAGGGGTCCTAGCGTCCTAGCGTGTGGGACACTTTCTCGCACATCCCAGGTTATTATTATTATTAAGTGTTAACCTCCCACTATTATATATATAGCTGGCATGTAAAATTTAAAATAGGTGATTAAGGGAAACTATTTTCATGCCTGCAGGAAAAATCTTAAATGGTGACACCGGCGATGTGGCAGATGACTTCTATCATCGCTACAAGGTAGATTCTAGTTTTTCTTTTAAGTAAAGCAGGAGTTCTTGCTCTTGAAATGCATTCAAGGAAACACATTGTTCGGTATTAACGCAGTCTTTGGAATATATATTTACACACTGTAGAAGCCTTTTCTACAGTAATTTCCCCAAAAAATCGCAGTCTTTGGAATGCAATTTTAATGACTAATTTTTGTTATAGTATACTCCAGCCTCTAGTAAAAAAAATATTTGACATTGGAAGAACTAAACTCAGTTCTCCCAACGTCAAATAAATTTGACCGAAGTGAGCACATTATAAAAACCTGATTTTACTATGAGATTTTACCCATATGATTTCCATGTGTCAGTCTAATTATTTAAAAAGATATTAACTCAAGGTTTTAATCTTTGACTTGTTGTATGTCAAAAAATAAATGTTTTCATGACTTGATGGACCGAATAAAAAGTTTATCTTGGACAGGAATCTTCTTGAACTGATCATTCATTTCTTTTGTTGAACCTTGAAAATGCAGGAGGATGTAAACCTTCTCAAAGACATGAACATGGACGCCTTCCGGTTTTCCATTTCTTGGAGCCGGATCCTGCCAAGTGAGTGAAGTTAATTCTACCATCTCCGGACTGAATTAGTTGACGTTTTAGACAGTTAAGATGACTTGAACTTAGTATATGGCTGTCCAGAACGTCAAATAATTATGATCAGAGGAAGTATTTGAGAATGGGCATTATATTTCCTAGATCGTATCAGCGCATTCAGTTGCATTTCAGTTTTTTGACCGTGAAATTTTCCTTTGTAAATGCCTGTTGAATGCAGATGGAACATTGAGTGGAGGGGTGAACAAGGAAGGAGTAGCTTTCTATAACAACCTGATCAATGAAATCATAGCCAAAGGTGAGTAAATTTTTTCAGTTATGTCCTATTTACAATCATGTGTTACTGTTACTACAAAATTATAAATATTTTTTTGGTATTTTTAAGTAGTAAACTTTGAATTAATTACAAAATTTTCATAACAGGGATGAAGCCATTTGTCACAATCTTCCACTGGGACACACCACAGGCCCTTGAGAGCAAATACGGAGGATTCCTGAGTGAGAATATCATGTAAGTTTTTTAGATAGAGACAAAGAAAATCCATAAACCTGTTAAAATCACTCAACTTGTTAAGCTGATGATGAGGTTGATTAAAGTTAGGCCATTCACCTAAGTTTCAAAAGAAAAACCAGTTAGATAGAACAGGGTAGGTAATTTGGTCATCTGAATCAAAATAAATTGCTTGTCGGTTCTGCAAATTTGGCTAGAATTCATCAATGACTCACATTAAAATTTGTCGATTATGCAAATTTGGCTGTGTGCCTGTCGAAAGACACCGGAGATGTAAACCATTACCATTATCTTAAAAAAATACTCATATTAGAGATTTGGATTGTCAATATTTTCAGCAAGGATTATGTGGACTTCGCCGAAGTGTGCTTCCGGGAGTTCGGCGACCGTGTCAAGTTCTGGGCCACCTTCAACGAGCCATGGACCTACTGCTCCCAGGGCTACGGCACCGGCATCCACGCCTTGGGCCGGTGCTCCCCCTACGTCTCCACCTCCTGTGCCGGCGGCGACTCCAGCCGCGAGCCTTACCTAGCAGCGCACCACGTCATCCTCGCCCATGCCACCGCCGTCCACCTCTACCGCACCAAGTACCAACCCACGCAGCACGGGCAGATCGGCATCACGGCGGTGTCGCACTGGTTCGTGCCGTATAATGACACGGCCGCTGACCGCCGCGTTGTGCAACGCAGCCTCGACTTCATGTACGGATGGTTCCTGGACCCCATCGTGCACGGCGACTACCCAGGCACGATGAGGGGGTGGCTCGGGGCGCGGCTGCCGGCGTTCACGGCGGAGCAGGCGGCAGCGGTGAGGGGATCCTATGACTTCATCGGCGTCAACTACTACACCACCTACTACGCCAAGAGCGTGCCGCTGCCCAGCTCAAACAGGCTCTCCTACGACACCGACATCCGCGCCAACACCACTGGCTTCCGCAACGGCAAACCCATTGGTCCGCAGGTACGTACATAGATCGACTCCTCCTCAACACCAACGCATGAACACAACATCATGTTCTTGATTTTCTTGAGACCGATCGATCAATCCATCAATCCACGGCTGATTAATTTCTTCCAACATTTTGGCAGGAGTTCACCCCGATCTTCTTCAACTACCCTCCGGGTCTCCGCGAGCTACTCCTCTACACCAAGAGGAGGTACAACAACCCGATCATCTACGTCACAGAAAATGGTAATTAAATAACCATCTTTGTTTTCATTACACACGAGATAAATACGTGCACTACACTCACCCACGAGTACGCACACTTCTAGCATACGCTCAAATAGACAGGGACTAATAGCTTATCCTAAGCTCCACTAAATTCCTATTGAAAATGTACTCATGTATGCATAATATTCATGAGCATTAGGATTTATACCGCCGCACTTCCCAATTAAATAACTTTCTCATTGTAATGGCTTTAACTTCTTTTTGATATACTAGCTGAATGCTTGTGCATTGCAACAGGAATTAATATACGGCTTTAAAACCACAAATATTAAAATAAAATTATCCCCATTATAAATCATTCCACATTATGTTTTTCATAATTTTGTATCTCACTTTAAAATAAGTTTTCCTTGTTTGATGGCTTCTGGCCAAGGAAGGGATAAAAGTCCACCTATCTCAGTATTTAGGGGACCCATATGGTAGTGGTGGTGGGTGGTGGCAGATTCACCACTCACCATTATCATTAGGGTCTTTTAAAGGAGTATAGATAAGTAGTACACTCTTTATATAGATTAATTTGAACTTGAAGTTGCATGTTTTGTGGGCTGATACATTTGAACTACATTCTCATTTTTTTTCTCCAAAACTTTTTCACAACTATTTGGATAACATGGAAATGAAAAAAAAAACGAGGGGATCGACATCCTGCAAGATGACTTTCATGTGTGATTGCAGGAATCGCCGAGGGGAACAACAAGAGCTTGCCAATCACGGAGGCGCTCAAGGACGGGCATAGGATCGAGTTCCACTCGAAACACCTGCAGTTCGTCAACCACGCCATCAAGAACGGGGTGAACGTGAAGGGCTACTTCACCTGGACGTTCATGGACTGCTTCGAGTGGGGCGACGGATACCTCGACCGATTCGGCCTCATCTACATCGACCGCCTCAACAATCTCAAGCGCTACCACAAGCAGTCCAGCTACTGGATCGCCAACTTCCTCAAGCGGAAGAAGTACTGAGTGAGCTAATGGTTCTAGCTAAGCTAAGCTAGCTCTCTGTGCGATTTTCAGTTTCAGAGTGATTGGTGAATTGATGTACTGTACATGCTTGACCACCGTTGCCATTGTTGAGTGAGGGGGAGGGGATAAAGCTCATTGTTGCTTGAGCTATTTGATTTACCAATTGGAATTCGTTTCGGTTGTTTGTTCGTCGATCTGGAGGAAAATAAAACAAATTCTCGTCTCTTTGTTTCATCTCGTTTTCCACTGGAATAAGTTCACTTTACGTCCTTTATCTAGTTGTTGAGTTCGAATTTCATCCCCCAAACACAATGCCAGATATAACGTGTCTCTCAACTTATAAAACTGTTGTAGCCGAGATCCCAAACAGTATAATGCTTGGTTTTAGCTTATGTGACGAGTGAGCCCCACATATTAGGCCTATTTCTTTTTGGTACTCTGAAAATATGCAGACATGTGGTCAGTGCACAGGCTCAAAAGACAAAATCTGCAAGTTCATTTTTTGCCGAAGTATCGCCTGTAATTCGATCATTCTGATGAACAAATTCGGTATGGTTTTGACAAATCTAGCTCAAATCAAAAGCACCATGGCAATTTTTTGAGAGGAGTAAATGCAAAACCATACTGACCTGCAGGCTGCGCTGGTTAAGGCGCTTGACGGCGCGCGAGGACGACGCGGCCGCCGCCACCGGCGTCCGCGCGTTCTTGGCCTTTGCTCCTGTTGCCGCTCTTGAACGCGAAGCACCCCATATCTGATGGGCTAGCAAATTAAATCAGAGAAGAGACCTCCTGCTTGTTGATTAGGATGGATACATCCAAAAAATACCAACAACTCTACTAAAACTAAAAAGGAGAGATTTATAATTTTAGTTAGCAATGGCAGGAGGTTGGAGAGGACGAGAAATATGCCTGACATGTGAGACCCACCTAGTCATGTTAGTTAAAACTGGACACTATACTGTTTAGAATCTCGGGTACAGGTTTTGCAAGTTGAGGGACTGCCCCCTCGTTGTTGTACGTGGTATTGTGGTTCGAGGACCAAAGTCGAACTCGGTGATAATTCAAGGGACCTAACCTGAACTTATTACTTTTCTACTACTGCTCTTGTTGTGTTCCGGCCTGAATTGGCTCTCGGCCCAGATTGATGGACAAGGCCCATGAGAGGCCCGCTGCTGGGTACAGTGAATCTGGACGGCTTCCTCGGCACCTAACGAGGGGGTCCACGTTCAATGAATCTGCCCTTTCAGTGAACCTTAGCAAATGGCCAAAAAAAAACCACCAAAGGTGCCATGCACGAACAAACAAGCTGCTACCAGCAGTACTCCTAGAATACTACCAGTAGGGCTACTATCTTATCCATACCCTGCAAGTTTGTGTTACTTGTATAACTTTGCTTAATCTTATTTTTTGTTTTGCTAAATCAAACTCCTTGATCCTTAAGAAACGTGTGGCTCTGAATCTATTTGACCTCAAACTTAAGTAGTGTTAGTTTTTATAGCCACTTGACGATGACACGTCTGACGACGCCTCTGCCAGAGTACAACCACGAGGTCTTTCAAGTTTCATGGTCAAGACGACGAATGCCTGACGCTCACCGTTCGCAGCGCCGCGCGCCGCCGCCGCCGCCACCGCCGTAGAAAGGATGGAATCGATGAGAGGGTGGGGTGGTTGAGACGGGCGGTCTCCGGGATGGGGAGTGGTCGTAGCCGAGCGAGAATCCGAGATTCCGAGCATGGGTTGACGCTGGAAAACGGCTCTACGGAAGCAGGAAAAGTCACTCAAGGAAGGAACGTACACAAACACAAGCTTGGGGGTGTCCAGTGAACATTGATGCATCATGGCTGACCCCTTGAGATCGGGATCCTTTGTGGAGAGGAAGAGGTTTCACATTTCTGTGACTGTTGGGTTGGCTGAGTTATACGGGCTGTGTTGTTTTGGAAGGGTTGGGAACCCTCCCTTTACACGCAAAATGAAGCAACAAATGGGTTATAGTGGTGCTACGGCCGCGGCTAAATTTGAGCGTGTTTTAGGAGACACACTCGTGGATGTGGGAGTAGTGTGCGTCTTTTGTGTAATAAAAAATGATACTCCCATAAAAAAATAAATTAACTCTCTACGTTAATGTCTAGATTTAGGACAAAAGTTGATTTATCTTGACACAGAGGGAGTATATTATATTCTAACAACAATGAGAAAACCACTATATTTGAAAATCACGAACAAATCTTCGCATCTTTCTAAACAGCTTAACTATTTTAACTGTAACTTACGACAAGTAGTTGGTAAAAAATACATATTCTAACCCAGCTATCATCTATTATAAATTAACTTGATAAATGAAATTTATGTGAAATGACACACACTCCAACATTTTTTTTTTCAAAAAACTAGCTAAAACCTGTGTGTTGCAACATACTCCCTATCTGCATATTTCATAGGTATACCAAGACCAAGAAAAGCTAATAACTCTCTCATACTATATTTACTCTAGCAACAAACTCAATGCATACACCATCCCCACTATTTTCTAGCCAATAGCAAATCAAGATATTGCATGTGGGTTATAAATGCTTGTGTGCATGGATGCATGCATCAATATCTATTTACTCCAATGTACAAATAACGAATAGTCCTAATGAATGAACGCAAATATGTAGATCATTTAGGAATAACTTAAAAAAATATATATGCAGATTAATTTGGAATGGAGGGAGTATATTTTGAGAAATAAAAGCAAAAGCAAAAAAAAAACAAGTTTATAGCATGGTTAGATGATTAAGCATATAATGTCATCTCCAAGGGCAGCCACACTGAAAAAATGCTTCTAGATCACCTCGTTTTATCCTCTCCGACTATGTTCACGAGTCATACGGTCGGATCATACAAGATTGGAGACTCTTATAATTCATTTGTTGGTAGAAGGTGAATTTGAAGGTTTTGTACGTAACCCTTTACAATTTCTAAAATTAGTAATTCTGGATCATTTACGTGTAACATCATTTAAAGTGGTATATAGAATTAGCTTTCCCAACTCACTTTCCTCGTTTTCCGTACACATGCTTACCAAATTGCTAAATAGCATGATTTTGCATAAAAAAATATACAAAAGTTTCTTTAAAAATCATATTGATTTATTTTTTTAAAAAAATAATTAATTCTTACTAATGGATAGCTCCGTTTTACATGTTTGGAGGAGAGTTCCCAACTCCAACTTACTCCCTCCGTCCTAAAATAAGTGCAGTTTTACACTATTCATCTCCAACGTTTGATCGTTTGTCTTATTTGAATTTTTTTTATGATTACTATTTTTATTGCTATTAGATAATAAAACATGAATAATACTTTATGTGTGACTATTTTTTTAAAAAAATTTCATAAATTTTTCAAATAAGACGAACGGTCAAATGTTGAAAACAGATTTCCATGACCGCACTTATTTTGAGACGGAGGTAGTCCTAGACAACACAGGGCTGTGCACAGAGTGGACCGGAGCAAATGGGATCTGCGAGCCTTTCTTTCTTTCCTTCCCTACCCCTGCTCCCTTCCTCCTCAGCGCTAGCCTCCCTCGTGTTTCCTTTCCCTTTCCCCTTTTATTTTTTCTAAAAAAAGGGAAACACGGAAGAGAAGCGAATCTTTTCCACCTCCACTGGGCAAAAAAAATTAAAAAAATAAATAAAATTCCCCATTCCCCCGAACAGATTGATTCGCTTCGATTCGAGGGAGGAGGGGAGCACAGCGATTTCTTCTCTCTCTTTCGCCGTCGCATTCGCCTCGCGCCGCGCCGCGCACAATCCCATCCGCTGCTGCCCAAGTACGCGCCCGCCCTGCTGATTCCTCCGATTTCTGTTCGTTGTTTCGGTGTTCCTGGATGAGTCGGGGTGGATGGATGGGGTTTTGGTTTTTTGGTGGCGTTAATCCTGTATTGGTCTTCGCCTTTTGCAGGGCTTGTTTCGCGGATTCGGATTGGTGCTGACTCGCTCCCGATTGGCACCGGGAGGTATGAATTCTCGCTAGGATTTCGGTGGGCGGATTGCTGACGAGGAGAGGGTTGGGGGGGAGTGGAGTTGGATGTGATCGGGTTGTGGGAAATCCCTAGTTTGTGGTGTTGTGATGGATCATCTGGCTATCATTGCGACGGAGTTGGGGGATTCGTCGGACTTCGAGGTGGAGGGCATCCAGAATCTGACGGAGAATGATGTCAGCGACGAGGAGATTGAGGCCGAGGATCTGGCCCGGCGGATGTGGAAAGACAGGATCAAGCTGAGGAGGATCAAGGAGAGGCAGGACAGGCTCGCCCTTGCGCTGCAGCAGGCTGAGCTGGACAAGTCCAAGGGGAAGCCGATATCCGATCAGGCCATGCGCAAGAAGATGTCGAGGGCGCAGGACGGGATCCTCAAGTACATGCTCAAGCTGATGGAGGTGTGCAACGCGCGCGGGTTCGTTTACGGGATCATCCCTGATAAAGGGAAGCCCGTGAGCGGCGCTTCCGACAATATTAGAGCTTGGTGGAAGGAGAAGGTGAAGTTTGATAAGAACGGGCCGGCGGCAATCGCAAAGTATGAGTCGGAGAACTTGGCGTCGGCTGATGCTCCGAGCAGCGGGATCAAGAGCCAGCACAGCTTGATGGATCTCCAAGACGCCACTCTCGGTTCACTGCTTTCGTCATTGATGCAGCACTGTGATCCACCGCAGCGCAAGTACCCATTGGAGAGGGGCACTCCACCCCCGTGGTGGCCTTCAGGGAACGAGGATTGGTGGATTGCGTTGGGCCTTCCGAGGGGGCAAATTCCTCCGTATAAAAAGCCACATGATCTTAAGAAGGTCTGGAAGGTTGGGGTGCTTACAGGTGTGATCAAGCACATGTCCCCAAACTTCGATAAGATCAGAAACCATGTTAGGAAATCAAAATGCTTGCAGGATAAGATGACTGCAAAAGAGAGCCTGATTTGGTTGGGTGTTCTACAGAGAGAGGAAAGGCTTGTTCTCAGCATTGACAATGGCATGTCAGAGGTTACTCACCACGGTGCTCTGGAGTACAGAAATGGGGACACACACAGCAGCAGTAATGAGTATGATGTTGATGGTTTTGAGGAGGCTCCCCTTTCAACATCATCTGGAGATGATGAACAAGATCTTTCTCCGGCTGCACAGTTGAGCGAGGAGCATGCCCCAACAAGGAGAGAAAGAGCTAAAGTCAAACGCCCTAATCAGGTTGTTCCTAAGAAGGCAGGAACAAAAGAACCACCAAAGAGAAAAAGACCACGCCACAGTGTCACCGTAATTGAGCAGGAGGTACAAAGAGCTGATGACGCATCAGAACATTCAAGGAATATGATTCCAGATATGAACCGACTGGACCAGGTAGAAATCCAAGGCATGGCTAACCAGATTACAAGCTTCAATGAGGAAGCTAATACGAGTGAAGCTTTGCAACACAGAGGAAATACTCAAGAACTGGCCCATCTTCCTGCCGATTTTAATCACTATGGCAATGCGCAGGCAACAATTGCTACTCCTGTAAGCATATGCATGAGAGGCCAGGCTGTACCTTATGAAAGCAGTGACAATTCCAGGCCAAAAACTGGAAATATCTTCCCACAGGATTCTGATTCAGGCTTTAACAATATGCCTAGTAGTTACCAGACCATACCTCCTAAGCAACCACTTCCACTATCTATCATGGAGCATCATGTGGTTCCCTTGGGTATCAGAACACCAGCTGACAACAGTCCTTATAGTGATCAAATAATTGGTAGTGGGAATTCTACTTCTGTTCCTGGAGATATGCAGCTCATTGATTACCCTTTCTATGGCGAACAAGATAAGTTTGCTGGCAGTTCCTTTGCGGGATTACCTTTAGACTATATCAGTATCAGTAGCCCAATCCCAGATATTGATGATTTGCTGCTGCATGATGATGATCTAATGGAATACTTGGGAACATAACATAGGTAAATTCATTAAACATATCCATTTATTCGATGTTGCTTCCTCTTTGACCATTTTTTTCATTTCTCCTTTTCAGGTTAGGCTCCAATGCCTCCTTGCATTTGTTTCTGTCGCCCATTTTGTCAGTAGGATTACCATCGTAACTTGAGTATGGAAGGCTATACTTCTTATTTTGCCATCAAATATCAATCTTGTTAGTTGATACCGTTTCTAGCATGGCAAATTATACCTGACTTGCATTCTTTGGAAATGATATATCAAATGATGACCGAATTGTAAATGGGAAAGGTGTATATGATTTAAGTTTGAAATATGGCCTTTTCTGAAGAAAGATATCTAGTGAAGAATGAACATAGTTTTTGTAATTTTTTTAGCCTGCGAGAAATGAAAGTTTTGGTCTCCTGCTTTCTCTCACTCTCTCCCCTTATGCATTCTACAGAAACATTGAGAATTCACCTCAACATTTTATATGCGACTAATAAATGAAAAATCATCAGTTGATAGGAACCTCCTGTATCCGATCTGTCCATATGTTCAATTACAATGAAGTAGAGAACTGTTGTAGCAGATCAAAAGCTCTTTGCCAGTGCCATTTTCTAATAGTTACAAAAGTGAAGCAATTCTATAAGTGCATATAAAATTTTAGGATACTCTAATGTAATGGCACTATCTACCAGGTGGCAATGGGGGCTGCTACTAAATCACACCAACACTATCCTCCTCTGTCCCCTTGTGCTACTTGGCAATTGGCATAGTTATTTTTGGAGATAGCTGAGAGAAAAGAACCCTTGATGCAACGATACATCATACATGGCAATATGGCATAGTTACTTTTGGTGGTCTCATGCAGCTGTGAAGTTAGATCGATGTAATTGAACATCAGTACCCAGGCTTGATGTGATGATAGACAAGTCTTTGTGCATTCCCTAAAAGAAAATAACCCTTAAATCTGTATGATACTATGATAGCTTGTCCTGCTGGACATTTTGTATGACTGGTACATTTTCCAATTTGTAGAATCTGTTTGCAATCCTGCTTGCTTTTTTTTTAAAAAAAAAAAGAAGTCCAAGAAAGCGTTTATACGCTGAATAAGAGCCATGGAGTGTCTTCTGTAGTTCTCTTACCTAAAAAACTAAAAACAACTAATGTTAAGGAAATGTTCTGGTGCTTATGGCTAAACACTGGGAAGCATAAGTTTTATCTTAATTTTATTAATACTAATAACTTCAGCTAAGCACAGTGCTGCATGTGGTTACATGATGTTTAATTGGGCGAAGAAACCCATCAATCTATGGCTAGAGTTGGTCCTGAACTGATGCTCTTATTATGAAAGTATAATCTTTGAGTTTTGACTATTATATGAAAGAACCTGTTCTGCCCAAATGCCATGAGCATGTAGAATGTTACTAGGTTCTTGCAGCATTGATAGTAACTATATCATCATGATTGCTTATTTTTATGAGATGCTTTAATTTTGGGAGCTGCTTACTTATGACCCAGCACAATTTCTTGGAAAGTAGAAATTGCTTCCAGTACAATTTTCTTTTCCTAAACCATGCATCTTGGATCCCTTGCACCATGTATCTTCTATGCTTGATTATTCTTATCTAGAGGCTATCCGTAAGTTTTCTCACCACAGTGCATCTATGTGACTATGCATGCATCCAAGATCTGCGAGCTGTAGCTTATGTATCCTTGAGAAGCATGTGAGTTGGGAGTAGCATGTGAACTTGAAATGGTCTTGATAAATATTTCACGAAGAAAAGCTTTGTATGCATAACAGCCAACATAGTTTCAAATGTTAAAAGTTGACATACTATTTTCTTTTCAATGATAAAAGTAGAGATCAATCCAAGCAATGAATGGCTGCTGCTATTTTTATTTTCAAAAAATTCGAATTGATAATGGATTGAGATTGTCATTGACTTGCGACATGTTTGTAATGCATGAATTAGGGAAAGGTCAAAGTGAAGGGATTTTTCTTTGATCGCATTGGGGCAGTTATGTTCGTGAAATACTAATTTTTGTTACTGTCAATGTCAGCAGTACTTTTACAAAGTTTGCCATATGACTTCTAATTGTGCAGAGCTTCATGTAACACATTCATCTCATCATGGAGCGGGTTCTGTTTTTGCATAATCATTTCCCATTGCTGTTATCTGTCATCTGCATTTTTGTTTTGACATCGCAGTGATTTGCATTGTTTGGTTGGTTGTTTGAGCTTTGCCATTGCTGTTCAGTCCATGCTGGAATGTTGTTGCTGCCTCTCGTTTGTTGTTCTTTTCTGTTCGTGTGTTTTTAGGATGATTTTGTTTGATTCCTTTTGCGTTAAAGACACAAGATTCATACCTCTTGGCTTGGAGAGACAATGTTGTTCTTGACTTCTTGTTCCCTTATTTGATTGCTGTTCTTGTGCACAAAATAGCAGGGGCCAACTATTGTGGGTCCTCTGATCCTAATCCTTTTGCAGCAGCAGCTGCAGCTCCATGCCTCCCATCACATGGCAGACCTGCTACCCGCTGGAGCATATGTTCAGAATTCAGAACGACTGGATCAGTGAAAAGCTCTGTTGAGTAGAATATCGACTTGCGAAACGGGATGTCAGGCAGTAACAGTTTTGACTTCTACCGGAGATTCTCCTTTTGGATGCAAGTACTCTTTACGCATGGAGAGAAGTGTACTCCGTAAGTCCTTTCTACTACCCCTAGAGTACTAATCTTTTATTAGGGCAAGTTTAATAGTATAGCCCACTACTAGCTCCAAATTATCTATAACTAATGTAATAGTCAATTCATACAATAGTTGCTTACTATACTATTAATACCTAGTCCCATCTATCATACACACATTACATCTTAGAATTCGTGCTGCAGCTGGCTACAGATCTGTAGCCCGCCGCTTTTCTCTCTCTTCCTTTATCTCTTTAAAATATATTTATAGCTGGCTTATAGCCTGCTATCGTACCTGCTCTTACTCCTCTTCACCTATGCTGTCAAGGTGAGTCTTTTAGCAATTGCTCTACCTTTTCTCTTCTAGCACATTAGGTAAAGAAATAACTCATGGACGTTTGCATTTTCATTTATTTTCACTGTCGTCTTGACCATATTTTGTAGCTGAAACGAGCGTTATATAATAGAAAAGAATCTGCTTCCGGCCGTTTGTACATAATAATATATGCTGAGTTTTTTCCTAGAATATGAATTGTCATAAACGAATGATAATAAATTAATAATCTCGTGAGATAATCTGACCCTGTGTTTTCTTTAGCTAGGAGCTGACGGAGTTCCTGTTTCGTCGTCATCAGGCAAAGGTTGACGGCTTCGCTAAACTGGGTCACAACTCATGCTGCAATTTCCAGGAGCGTCCTACCACAGGCTGCAAGTCTCCAGATGACATGAGCAGCAGCAACTGTATTTTCAAAGTCTCAAAAGGAACAATCTTTTTTTTCTAGTACACGAGAAGACGAAGAATTTTTACAAGCCATGAGGCTGCTGAACTGATCGAGTTACCATCTCGAGACTGCAATTTCCAAGATGTCAGAACTCCCTCGGTCCGGTCCTCCTGGTCCGATCGACGATCCTCCTGCCAGTCACTCGCTAGCACATTCACTTCAAAGTTAATGCGTCCAGTGAACGAACAATTTAAGTCGGTCAGTCGAAACTTTTCTCCCCTGTTCCTCCAAGAATTCAGGCCAGTTTTTTTGTAACGTGTGCACCAATTCAATTGGGTCCGTTGCAACAAAGGAATTCAACGAGAATTGAACCAATTTCAACAAACGTACTGTTAAATATAAATGTGATTTGAATTTTAACATGCAATATATTCAGGTTAGTTTGCTAGTAGGACTTTAGGATTCTATCTTGTCTCTTTATATATTTTTGTTAAGCCAGACAACTCAATGATCATTGTTTATCGGCGCAGGTGGTTTTTTTTAATTATGTTTTTCACGTAAAAATAATTGCTAGTAGGACTACAAGTGTTGTGATTTCAAGATGATAGATGTACTATAACAAACTACTACTACCTGTATTATGATGATCGAGATAATAAAACAAACAGAAACTGGAGATGATGAAGAGAAATTTGCCGAGAATTCGGGGGATAATGCAACGCAAATTAAGCAAAGATGCATTGGATCGGAGGATGGGGAGATAGCGGCCACGTAAGGCGATGGCCATTCATTCATTTTCATTCATTCAACAGACTGATGATTTTGGGAGTTGGGGACGGTATACGTGCCTCGAGGGCAGCAACAGGAGCATTCACATACTCGGCGAATAATTCTTCTGCGTCTCTTGTGCGTCTGATCCCAGGCGCGGCTCTCAATCTTGGACCATGCCCACAGCCAGCGCGAGCGAGCGGGCGGTTCTTTTGTCGTCGCCCGCGCGATCCTCCACTTCGCTCGACCAACCTACCTATACTACCAAACCAAACTCTTACCTTTTTACACCACACTAATCATAGGCGGAAAGTATAATTTTGCAGAATTTTCAGGAGAATTAAAACCTAGATATCCTGTAAAGTTTTTATGTTATACTCCCTCTGATTTCAAGTTATAGCATGCTTGCTCAACGTTTTCCTTCCCAATTTGTCATATGTAGGAAGTTTTACGGGAGTTGAGCTGATCCACGTGACATTTTGTACTTTCTTTAATGTTATAGGCTTTTGTCAGATTTTCAAGTTATTTTATAGCATTTTTAATATTTTCCTAAATCTAAGTCGTCCTAAAACCTCTAGTCATTTTTGCGGTCTTCTTTTTTCCTGTTTGATATTGCTAAACAAACGCTTACTACCTAACTTGTAAATAATTGAGTTATTTCCTCCATGTAGTATAAATGAAGTGCAATAATGTCATTCATGTTGTTTTTTTACTTGTTCCGCACAAGGCTAAAACGATTCACTTCTTCCGTTCAGAATTAAACTAGAAATATTTTTTTCCATAGCTAGGCATGTGGACGGTTATTTGTCCTCTCCTACTCTAGTTTGATCGTGCTACCTACATTACCTTTTTACACCACACCTGTCTAGCTGTCTAGCTGATCTTCTCCTCTTTGGAATTATGGGTAGTGGAATTCAACGAGAATTGAACTGATTCACACACTTAGTTTTGTAAAATTTTTACGTCAATATTCCCTCATATTCTAAATCATTCTAGACTTCTCAATGTTTTCTTAAATATGAGTTATTTTGGAATTTATAGTCACTATTTTGGTATTTCTTCCCTGGTTGTCATTGCTAAATAAATGCTACCTCACTCGTAAGTAAATGAATCATTTTCCATGTATAAATGAAGCACGATAAAATCATTTGTGTTGTTTTCTTAGATCTTTCTTCCGTTTAGAATTAAACTATATGTATATTTTTTTGGGGACCATGGCTAGGAAGGCGGGTGGTTCTTTGTTCGTCGCATGCTTCTGTTCGATCATGCTACCTACGTTACCTTTTTACACCACACCTATCTAGTTCTTCTCCTCTTTGAAATCATGGGTACAAAGTTTCATGGAGTTCTATGGGAATTAAACTGATTCACATGACATTTTGCAAATTTTCAAGTTAATACTCTCTCTGATTCTAAATCATTTTAAACTTCTCAATGTATTATTAAATACAAGTCCTTTTGGAACTTCAAGACACTTTTTCGGTCTTTCTTCCCTACCCGTCATTGCTAAATAAATGCTACCTACCTCGCTCACAAATAAACACGCTATTTTTTCCCCGCAGTATAAATGAAGCACAATAAAGTCGTTTGTATTGTTTTCTCAATTCTTATCATAAGGCTAAAACGACTTATATTTAAAAATCAAAGATAGTATCAATTAATCTCTACAACATCATATCGACACGATCGAGGCCGTGAGACAAACGGGCAGTTTGAACTCACTTTACTTTTAGAAGAGGCCTGGGCTTTTTGGCACAAGGCATTGCTTACTTTTTCTAGCTCACTCTCATAGAAAAATTCTCTCTCGCAATCTTTGGGTGGCTCTGACCAACTTTTTTCATGGTAGTACGTACTACTGACTTTGCTGTTGGGAGTGAACACATCAATATCGGTTTCTACCGAAAGTCAAAACAGAGACAAAGACAAGTTGAAAGGATCACATCTCAAATCGTTAATTGGTGCATGCATGCACAACTGCACAACTCTACCGGCATCTCAAATCGTAATAACAGTTCAGTTTTTAGTTAACAAAATACAGTGGCTAAATTAATGGCTAATGCAATTTGTCACCGGCCGGGGTTTGAATTGAAACGAGAATAAGAGAAACCACGAGTGCTTCGGTGCAAAAGTGGCAGAAAAATTAAAGGTGGCGACGTCTTCTGCTTCACCTGCCCCTCCATCTCTCTCTCTACTTCTCTCTCAATCTAGAGAGAGAAAATTGAGAGGAGAGGAGAGAAGAGAAGAAGTCGGCTGTTTGTAGCAGTATACCATTAGATGCAGAGGGAGCATGGAGCCAAACAGAAAGTCTGTTTCGCCATTAATGGCTCTCCCACTCACCTCTCTCTCTAGAAACACATAGCCAAGATCATCATCATCAGCAACCATATTAGTGAATTAAGAGGAAATCAAAGCAGTAGCAGCCCAGGAACAGCATCATCAAAGCAGTAAGAGAGGGTAGTTTGCAAGTGGTGCTAGTGTCCAAGGCGCCATCACGAACTAGAGTCCTAGATAGAGCTAGAGGTCATGCATGGGGTAGTTGCTGGTGTGGAAGAGGAAGAGAGAAAGTGAGTGAGAGAGAGAGAGGTGGCGCCTTGGCTGCTAGCCTCATAGAGTCAAAGAGTATTTAGGACCTTGCAGCTATGGCTATAGATAGATAGAGGCACATACGCATACGTATATAGCTTGCTACCTTGCCTTCTCTGTGTATGTTTCGGCGTGTGTTCTTCTTCTTCTCTTCTTCCTCCTCTCGATTCTGAAGAGGTTAGCTTTGATTTGATCGATCGATGATGAGCGGGAGCGAGAGCCAGCAGGAGAGGGAGCATCGTCAGCAGCAGGAGATGAACATCTCCTTTGGGATGATGATGAACCATGGCCACCATCACTACGGACAGCATCAGCAGCAGCACCATCATCATCCGCCTCCGTCATCGTCTTCCTCTTCCTCCATGCATGCCGCTGCCGCAAGCTTCATGTACGGCTTTGTTTACTGAATCTCTCTCCCTCTCTCTCTCTCTCTCTGATTTGTTTGATGCATATATATGTGTGTCTCTTTCTTGTTCTTGATTTGGGCCGTGTCTTGGAGTTTGATTTTGATCTCTGATTTGTTAGTCATGATCATGCATGGTTTGTTTTGGTTTGGTTCTTTTTTCTTGCTTGCTCTCTTTGTTTCTGCTGGTTCTTCTGATCTCTTTTTTGCCATGGTTTCCTCTTCTTCTTCTCCTTCTTCTTTTTATGGAAACTGCTTTAATTTCCTCTTCTCCTCCTCCTCCTCTTTTAACAAAACACTAGCCATGGAGAAACTAGGTTACCAATAATCTTCTTGTGGACTGAATTTTGCATTCTACTGTTCTACATGTTGAAGATTTTGCTTCTTTTTTTGCTAGAATTTTGCATTTTACATGCAGACGATTTTGCCTTTTTGCTTCCTGGTTGGGAATTCAGTGATTGTTTGAGCGGATGCAAACAGATCGGTCCTTTTCTCTTCCTTCTTCCTCTCCCCCCAAGAAAAAAAAAGTTAGACGATGATCAAACAAGTTCAGATTTAAAAATTCAGTACTTGTGATTTAATATCTGGAGCCAGATATAGTTGAATTGTTGCAACAACTCGCTAGTCTTTCTTTCAAATTTTGGGAGGTCAGCGATTCATTTCCGCATAAGTACAAGAGCATTACCTAAGACATATTTATGACCAACTGATCATACATATCTGCCCAAGTTTTTACATTTAATTTACAGTGAGCATGACTTGCACACATGAAATTTGGAGAGTACATGGCCATGCTTATTTTCTGGGCTGTGCCAAAATAAATGCTACAAAGGTAGAGTAGATTCATATTATTCTTCTGCTCCTACTCTTGCAGTCTTGCAGAGGTTGGACCAGACAAATAATTAATATAGCATCATACATAATTGGCTTATAGAAGCATGATTTCATGATGATGTGTGATGCCTTCACTACTTCCTCAACCTTGTGCATGCATGCTACTATACTACCTGCATCTATCTCACACATACATATAGCTATACCTCATCACCAACAATTTTGCTTCTTGTGCTGCTCCTAATTTTGCTTCTTGTGTTGCACCACCAGGAGCAGCAAGGAGGCATCTGCAGGAGCTTATGATCATCTGGGGGAGCTGGACCAGGCCTTGTTCATGTACCTGGATCATGGCAGCCATGCGGCGTCGCACCAAGAACAAAGGCGTACGTATACGAAAAAAACCCGTAAATTTTAATTCGCCAACCGAAAAATCACCACAAATTTTCTCAAACATGCATTCACCATATATATTTCCTTGCAAAAAGTTCAGATTTTTTTTTTCAAAGAGTATTAATGCAGGTGATGAGATCAGTAGTAACAGTTTTCAGTTGTTCTTCTTTTGGCATTTAGCATTAGTAGTAATAATAGCATAATAACAGCAGTATATATAGCTTAGGCACAGAAACAAATGTGCCAAGCATACACAGGGAGTAGCAGTAGGCTGTAGTATAGGAGGAGGAGGGATATATTCCTATGGTTGCAGAAAGTTGCATCCTTTTTCTGGGGTCATCAGAAACGATCATGGTATACGGCCGGCCGGCCTGCATGCAGCAGATTCTCAGGTACTCCATTTTGACCAGGATATCTGCTAGCTGCAACAAATCTCTGCAGTACTACTACTGCTACTACTACCACTGCACTCCTGTGGAGATCACACATCTCAGGACCAGGGAATCAGCAACCCAAAGTCCATGCATATGAAACCAACAATCTCTCTAGCTATACCTCTCTCTTCCCTCTCTCTCTCTCTCTCTATCTCTGACTGCTAAGATCTGGCCGGCTGGTTTGGACTGTGACATGTAACAAACTGCTCAATGATTTCGCCGAGATCGAGCTGCATCTGCATGTGGCCTGGTGCAGAGAAAGAGGGACGTACACACACACGCCGAAGAGATGATCGATCAATCCCCATGCTACTGATCGTTCTTGTTGCTGCTACTAGCTAGGAGTAGTAGCAAGATGTGCACATTTGTTCGAGTTTGACCCGATCGATGCTATCCACTTCTGTTGTTTCCAGCTTCAGGTTACAGTGATCAGTGTTGCAGTGTAGCAGCAGCTAGCTGTGCAGCTGTGTGATATCTGTCCTTGGCTCCCGTATCTCTCGTAGCCCCCAGCTTTCTCGTGTTGCCTGTGTGCCTGCAGTACTGCAGCTATAGCTAGCTTTGGACGTACCTAGCATGCATATATAGTACACACTACTCTCTGCCATGCAAAGCATGATGAATTTGAGCAGCAGCAGCAGTAGCACAGTAGTGTCTTGTTCCAGCTGCATGCCTGCATATATACAGCCTAGCTCTCTTCTTCAGTAGAGTTTTCAGTAGCAATTCGATCAGTTTGTGAGTTGTGGTGTGTGAGTCTCCAGGGTTAGCTGGTCTTCTGCTTTTGCTCGATCGATCTCTTGATTTGTGTTGTGCTCATGGATGATGCAGAGACCCTCAACATCTTCCCTTCCCAGCCCATGCATGTGGAGCCATCACCCAAGGTATTTAATTAATTTTACTTACTTTCATCTGAATCTCACATTGGTTATGTCATTTGTCTTTTCAATGTAGCACTCGTGTGTAGTATATATGAAATCAAAGATTGGTTTAATGTTTGTGGATGTGATGATTGATTGATTGATTTGGCAGGGAGAGATTAGTTTAGTGCTGTCCCCAGCAGCTGTGGGAACCAAGATGGCGAGGTCACCTGATCATCACCACCACCATCAGCAGCAAGCAGCAGCAGCCATGGAGGAGTTGGCGACAGGGAGCAGGAGACAGGATCACCACCACCTGCAGCACCAACCTTTCGCTGCTGAGCCTGCAGGGATCAACAGGGATGTGAAGCCGGTGACAGCCAAGGTCAGCATCATCACTTAACCACTTAATTAACCAACTAATATCTAACCCTGCTAGCTAAAGAAAACACCCTGATTAATCTATTCAGAACACTGTCCTTGATTGTTTTTATGTTTTAGCTTACATTAATGTGCATATTGTTTATGTTTTTTTTTATTATTGCAGAAGGATCACAGGAGGGGTGTATCTACTGGTGAACGCGACCCAAAGGTACTATACTAGTGATATTCTCAAGAAATAATTAGAGATTAGTTGTTGTTCTCTTTTTGTGCATATCAGTTGAGTTAAGGACAATACTAAAAATGATTTGGTCTGATCATGCTTACTTTTTTGCGTATCATTTTGTGATTAATGTAAATATATGCAGACGCTGAGGAGGCTAGCCCAGAACAGGGAGGCAGCAAGGAAAAGCAGGCTAAGGAAGAAGGTGAGTGAAGCAAAATTAAACAGTAATTAAACACAGAAAGAAAAAGAAGAAAATGACAGGCTATATATATTCAATATATTCAGAACAAAAGCAATCACCCAAATTTGATCAAATTAAACCAAATTAATTTTGCTAGTTAATTACTACCACTCTTCTTCAATTCAGCCACTGTGGATTAATTACTTTACTGAAATTTTGACTGAAACGACAGGCTTACATCCAGCAGCTGGAGTCCAGCAGGATCAGGCTTGCTCAGCTCGAACAGGAACTGCACACCGCGAGAGCCCAGGTAGGCGAATTTCATAATTTCAAATTCGAGCAAAATTCAAACTGCACCCAAATCAAATCAAACACAACCAATTCGGATTATGTATTATGGATGAAAATGTGTACGGATCTATACATGGTGCAGGGGGTGTTCTTCCCCGGCAGCGGCGGGCTGATCGGCGAGGGAGGCAGCGGGAAGGGGGTCCTGCTGGGCGGGATCGATGGCGTCGGCGGCGGCGGCGGCGGGGGGCTGAGCTCGGAGGCGGCGATGTTCGACGTGGAGTACGGGAGGTGGCAGGAGGAGCACCACCGGCTGATGTACGAGCTGCGGGCGGCGCTGCAGCAGCAGCTGCCGGAGGGGGAGCTGCAGGTGTACGTGGAGAGCTGCCTGGCGCACCACGACGAGGTCGCCGCCATCAAGGACGGCGCCATCAGGGGCGACGTCTTCCACCTCATCTCCGGCGTCTGGATGAGCCCAGCCGAGCGCTGCTTCCTCTGGCTCGGCGGCTTCCGCCCCTCCGAGGTCATCAAGGTACGCTACTATGCACTCCCCCCGCCATGGATTGGCTTGGATTGGATTAACCCTAACCCTAGATGCTCGTAGCGATTGACAATGGCTTCGTCGGGAGGTAGAAGACAAACGGAACAAAGTGGGGAAAAAATAATTTGGATTATGCTTTGAAACCCCTCGAATATTTTTATATTGCGTATTAGTCCCTCAAAAGAAAATAAAAGAATTTACATAAACAACCTTAACTAGCTCGGGTCTTCAGAGTGATGAAGAAAAATGTCGCATGAAAAAAGTTTGCGCATTTCTAATTTTGATCAACATGAAAAAAGTAACTTATCGAAAACAATTTCGATAAGAAAATTGAAAATATATAATACTTAGCCTCACTATATAAAAAATGATTTCTATTGATGCCCCCTCCGACTGCATTGACAATCCATAAGGGTCGTGTCATTGATCGCATACGAAAACGTAGTTTCATATATGGCTGACTTAAGGTGGCCGCACACGTGGTTGAGTTAAGCCAACTGCTTGTGGAATGTGATAATTTTCTACATGTGAAAATTTTCATTGGCCTTCTGTTAGGGGGGCGATTCCGTCTTTTGCAAATGCATCCTAGCCGTCTGTAAAGGAAAATGTCTTTTTTTTTAAAAAAAAAAACAATGTCGATAGTAAACCCTATTTTAGTTTAGTACTTGTTTATAATACGAAACGGAGAGAGTATTAGCAGCATTGGCACCTTAATTATATGGGTCGCGGAGGCAGTGAATAATATTCATGTGACAAAAGCCAAAACACACACCTTGTTATTGTCGTTTCCAGCAATGGGTAGGAGAAGTTGTGCACTTGCTCGGCAAGCTCATCATACCCTCTCCCTCCATGGAGAGAGCTGGACGACGACAACGAGTAGTGGATGGATAGCTAGCTTCATCGATCTGTCGCGCTCGCGCGCGTGCGAGCATTCCCCGCCATCTTCGCGACCGCGTGGGCGCATGCGTCGATCGAATCGATCGATATATCGACGCATTGAATGATCGATCTGATCATAATCAGATCAGGAAACTGGGATTTCAGCTTTTCAAGCCGGGCCACAACTGAATCCAACCAAATGTTGTAGAACTGTACGTACGTACGTAGCAGTACTGATAAACCAACAAAAACCATTACGGATTCAGGATTTACCTACATTCGTTTCGAATCTGTTACGATTAATTGTGCTGGGTTTTTCAGTGTAATTAAACTGCTCCATCGATCGCGTATACTGAACTGTTATATCAGCTGCTATCACAGTACCTGCATTGACATATACTATAACTCCTGAATGAATATCTGAATATCTGATCACTAGCTGACAGAGCAACAGTTTGTGTGCATTTGTTCTCTTCTTTTTTGCTCGATTGCATGACTGAATTCGTGATGTGATTAATGTGATTGGATTGATTAATAAGTAGTAATTGTGATCAATGTGGATTGGAGGGGATGCAGATGCTGGTGGCGCACGTGGAGCCGCTGACGGAGCAGCAGATCGTGGGGGTGTACGGGCTGCAGCAGTCGGCGCTGGAGACGGAGGAGGCGCTGACGCAGGGCCTCGACGCGCTCTACCAGTCGCTCTCCGACACCGTCGTCTCCGACGCCCTCAGCTGCCCTTCCAACGTCGCCAACTACATGGGCCAGATGGCCGTCGCCATCAACAAGCTCTCCACCCTCGAGGGCTTCGTCCGCCAGGTACCCTACCTTGCGTGATTCTCACACACTGTCTGCATCTTCTTCTCTCATGATTTGATCGAGCTCAGTAACCAAACCATACCAAATTACCAACCCTTCTTGCAATCAGTTCAGTCATGCATTGCATGCACTCTTCATCATCAGTTAGTTGGTTTCTCTTCAGTTCCATCAGTTGTAGGCCCATTTGTACTTCCTCCTCTTACAGATTAATTACTCCCTCCGTCCTATAATATAATGGATTTTAAGTTTTTGCTTGCAACGTTTGACCACTCGTCTTATTCAAATTTTTTTGGAATTATTATTTATTTTATTTGTGACTTACTTTATTATCTACAGTACTTTAAGCACAACTTTTCGTTTTTTATATTTGCAAAAAAAATTTGAATAAGACGAGTGGTCAAACGTTGCAAACAAAAACTCAAAATCCCTTATATTGTGGGACGGAGGGAGTATTGATTATCGCACTACACTTTCCAAGCTGCTGAACAATACGATTTTTTTTTCAAGAAATTATATATAGATTGCCTAGAATTTTTTTTTAATAAAAGCCACATTTTAACTTTATAATAGTTAATTCATTCGTTTGTACGTCGAGTATCTCAAGAATAGTCAGATAATATACCATCTGTTCATTTAATTATTCGGAACAATAAAACTGGGTTGTACTACATGTTTATGACTTTATTATAGTTTATTTGTTAGTTAATCTCCTGTCACTTCGATGGATTAGTTAGAGCTGGAGCCAATGGGAGAAGATCACATATATTTGTTAGTAGTTGAGAAGGTTCAATGGATAGTTCACCTAATTGAAATCGACACTGCAATACTGAATATGTTCATGATTAAATTAGATAATTGCTGTCGCCTAGCTAGGTGTTGTGTCGATCGATCGACAGAGAAGCATATGTGGATTAGGTTTTTCAGCTTTTGAAAAGCACCCGACTGTCTCCATCCCAGAAACGGGAGAGAGCAGAGGTTGGATTTGATATAAAAACCCTGAAAAGGCTGTGTAACAAACACCACAAACATGTATAATTTATGAGGGTTTATTGCTTGACTAATTGTTAGTTTGTTCATCGGTCTTTCCATGTTGGGTAGATGTGCCTGGCTGCTCGGTTTTTATAGGCCGCCCTTCACCTGCTCATGGATGCCACAAACAGATCGACCACACATTTCATTTCATATCACACTTTGCAACTTGCTTAATTGGTTACTGTTTGTGCTTAGTATAATTAATCAGCCAACTAATTAATGATGTCCACGTATGTGTAAAGTAATATTCCTACAATGCGTGTAACTAGTTGTTGCTTTTTTTTTACAATTAAAATATATAGGAGGATAACTTCTTATATCCATTTGAGATGCAAGTATGAATTAATATATGTTTTGTTTTTGAAAATAGAAATGATTTAGTTCCAGCCTATAGTCTCTTATCGTCTATTTGTTTTCTTATCATCCGCGTCTAAAATATAATCTTAGAGTTGAATTTGCAAAACTATCATTCGAGTGGCATCCTTTTAAAATTAGAAAAAACCAGTGACAAATTTACAAACGTCCAATATTTATTTTTACTTTTATATCGTGGATTGCACGAATATATAATAGTTTTACCATATATAACTCCAACTCCACTCCAAAGTCTTCAACTAACTGTGCTTCTGGATGATTAGCTGCTGATTTTGGCATGACGGTGGCAAAGCATCAGACATTCCGACAAGCTAAGAGCAAGGCTAATAAGACAACCAGTTATTTAGTTGTTTACTGTATAGATCTTTATGGTCTATATCTCAGCTTACTTATAAAGTGGTTAGCTCTTCACTATAGATATATAGTCCACCTGTCTGTCTCATAGATTTTTTTAGTTTTTTTTGCCTAAGTCGGCTGTAAGCTTACAGTCCCGTTTCTCATCTCTCTCTCTCCTTTCCTCTCTCATCTATCTCAGCATTCAGTCTTCTTATAGCGCTCTATTATACTTACTCTAAATAGCTCGTGCATGATTAGTAGATTTAATTCTAATGTAATTAATTAACTGGATATATGCAGGCTGAGAACCTGAGGCAGCAGACGCTGCACCGGCTGCAGCAGGTGCTGACGACGAGGCAGATGGCGCGGTCGCTGCTCGCCGTCTCCGACTACTTCCACCGCCTCCGCACCCTCAGCTCCCTCTGGGTCACCCGCCCCAGGCACCCGCCTCACGACCACCAGCCGCCGCCGCACTCCGCCGCCCCCCACACCTGAGATCACCGCCGCCGGCAACGCATGCAAACACCGTAGCTCTTAGCTAGCAGCTTAGAGATATCGAGAGATCAGAAATTAAGCGATCGATCGAGAGAGGACGACGACTGTGAAACCCCCCATGGAATGGATGGATGGATGGATGGATGAACCGATGTGTACTGTGTTTGGGCATTAACCCTTTGATGTAAACAAAGTAGGCGTGTTTGACTGCTTGGTCGATCGATCGAGATCTCTGTCGATAGGATCTTGAATTAGCGGATCTTACCTCAGCAGCTGGTTCATCAAGTGTTGATGCAGCTCAATCAAACTTTTTCCTGATGAAAACGCAACCTGCAGTCGTTGTTAATTCGTTTAATCTGTAGGAGTGTGCATGCTCCCTCGATCAAACCGCGTTTGCAACGTGAGGTTTTTCAAGATTAATTTTCGTTTTTGAAACCTTCGATCCGACGAATATCCAGCAGTCGGGGGCATTTTGAAATGGATGATTTGAACCGATTATAAAAGTATATAACATATTTTGGTTAGAATAAGTTATCTAAACAATTAGGATCTCATTGCTTGGTGCTTGCTTATAAGCTAAAATTTGCATTTTAGAATTTAATTTTGAATTTTTTTTTGTTTTTTCACCCTAGTTTACTTTAGTGTATTTGCTTTTGAGTCGATAAGGATATGTATATAAAACTTTTACTGACAAATGGATCTTTTATTTGCTAATAAGTGATTCAAATAAGCAAATGAATAAATGAAACAATGATGTTGTTAATGCTAATGTAAAAGGTTCTTGAATAAATTGTATTTTTTTTGAAACACGACACAAATTATCCGCATATAACTCATGGGCCATAAGCTGAAAAGAATGCAAGAAACATTGATTTTTTTTTTGTTCTGAATTATGTGAAGCTCATAAGAAAAATAATGTGAAATTCAAGTGTGCGTTTGAAATTGGGCCTTAATCTAAATTTTCTGGGCCGATTATGATCGATATATTACTGGCCCAATTTTTTAGCCCATTAACGATCTGTTGGTACCAGCTGACATGGCCCTACCATATATTGGGGCCAAAAACATAGGCCTATCAGCAGGGCCCAAATATATTGCTATGTTGTCTACTAGTGGGCCCAAAGCATATGGGCCGAACCCAACCATTATCTGTCCCAAATTAGAAAGTCATTTCGTGATATTAGCATACCAAACGGAGTAAGCAAATATCCCCGTTGAGGAAGCATCCGGAGCAAAAGCAACGACGACCAGAAAAATATCTCCTCCGCTTTTTGCGCTTTTTTTTTTCTCTTTCCACCCCGATGGCCGGCGGCGAGCCGCCGGCGCCGGCGACGGAGGCGGAGGAGGGGCGGAGGGCGGCGCTGCTGCGGGAGATAACCGAGGAGGGCGGGTTCGCGTTCGTGGCGTCGGCGGAGAAGGCGGCGTGCGGCGACCTCCGCGCCGCGGAGGCGGCGCGGGAGATGGCGTGGGAGCAGCTCCACTCGGGGCCGTGGAGCGAGGTGGGCGCCGCGTGGAGGGACGCCTACGCGCTCGCCTGCCTCCACGTCGCGCGGCTCCGGCGGCTGGGGGCGGCCGCCGCCGACCGCCGCGCCGCGCTCAGGGCGCTCGACATGGGCCTCATCATGGGGGGGAACCTCCTCCGCGCCGACCTCGAGGCCGCCATAGCGCGCATCGTCGCCGACCCCGGCGGCGGCGGCGACGCGGAGGCCGTCGACGAGGAGACCCGGAGGTGGAGGGAAGGGCTCGAGAGGAATCGAGACGTCGCCGATGTGAGATCGCTGTTGCCTTTGTAGGATTCCGTGTTTGTTTTGCGCGCTTTTCTGCGGCAATGCGGGTTCCAACTTAGCTTAATTTTTTAGGAGCTCATTGCAGTATGCGTAATTAACTATGGCTGCAACTATATAATTTCATATATAGTTAGATCCGGCTAAGGAACAAACTGGTGGCGAAAAACTGTTAGGGGTGAACTGCCGTATATCAACTCATAAATTGTAGGAATATCTTTTTTTCTGGAATGATCAGTGAAGATTTGTAGATTACTCCTTATGGTTTGTACCGTTCATTCTAGTTACCACTTCGCTTACTCATTTTCTGAATTTGTTGTATGGATAAGGGCATTCATAATCATTACCTTCTGCTCATCTTGTATTACTACTGACAGTACTTTTTCCAGGCACTTAATATTCTTCCGGCAAAGTCTTTATCTTGTAAGAAGGTTGAGAGGCGATCATGCATTTCTTTGGAGGAATTTATATGTGATTACTTTTTACGCGAGTCCCCTGTTATAATCAGTGGAAGCATCGATCATTGGCCTGCAAGGACAAAGTGGAAAGACATCCAATACCTGAAGAAGATTGCTGGAGATCGAACTGTTCCTGTTGAAGTAAATGCCTTTTGCTCTTTACACTAGATCTGGAAGACTATTATATGGAAACAAGCCATTTCTGTTTAGTTAACTTTGTTTAAACTATTCGATGCTTATAGTTTTTATAGTGCATTAATGATCATAGTAACAAATTCGAGCGCCAATATTATGCCCTTTTCAATTGAAGTAAAATAAACAAGTGCATCTAAATTTGGTGCTAAGTTTTATTACTTATTTGTAACAAACAACCTATATACATCAAAATATGATATTTAGTGAACTTGGCCAGCTGTCTGCAAGTAACATTAAGTTACAGTAGATTATTTTTGTATCTTGTATTTGTCTCTGACTCAACTTGCTTGTACAAAGGTGCAATTTTGAGAAATGTGTTACAATGTATTCTTCCGGTTGCAAGTTGGAACACTAATCTTTTGCCTTGGTGATCAGAACAGTAGGTAGATTGAACCTATTTTAAGCTGTTCCGTTCATATTTGTTGGTTTCAGTTTGATGCCATATTGCCATGGTATTTGGTTCAGTATTTTAACTTACTCATATTATGTTCAATGCTCTTTCTGTATGAACTTATTTTGCCGAAAGATTTGGTTTATATGATTGTGTGATTGTTTAACATGTACAGCTAGATTAACTCTACGGCGCTCTTGCATGAACAATCTTTTCATACATAGATTATTATTATTATTCACAAGACTTCTATGTGATGGAACATTTTCCTGAAATTTGATCACAGTAGAATAGTTGTGTCGTAACATATTTACCCATTAATTTAGTGTCTCAAAAATGCTATTTATTCAACTGAATTACATGGCTAATCCAATTAGTATGCAGCATTTATTCTCCCGTAGTTACCTTTTTCATGCATCGAGTAATTATGCTTGCTCGAAGACATTTTATGATGAAAGTTCCTCCTGTATTGACCTACCTCTGAATACTTATATAGCACTAATGTAATTGAATATCTGTCAGGTTGGAAAAAATTATGTGTGCAGTGAGTGGAAGCAGGAGCTAATCACTTTCTCTCAGTTCCTTGAGAGGATGTGGTCAGCTGGCTGTCCTTCAAACTTGACATATCTGGCTCAGCATCCCTTGTTTGAACAGGTAACCATGCTATCATTGTGGATTCTCTAGTAAGTATAAGCCCAATTGTCAGTTTTTTTTTTGTGCCATTTGCAGATAAAAGAGCTCCATGAAGATATAATGGTTCCTGACTACTGTTATGCTGGTGGAGGGGAGCTTCAGTCACTTAATGCATGGTTTGGTCCACACGGGACAGTGACACCATTGCACCATGATCCACATCACAACATTTTAGCTCAGGTATAGTGTGAGTACTCCTTTTCATATTTTTTCCCCGTTTGGATCTGTTGTCAATAATTTTTTCTAGAGTAAATACTCTTTTTTCTATGAGCAAGTTCAACTGTTCACACTGTTTATGCTATCATGTTACTCATCACGTTATGATTAGGTGCTGATTGACATGTCATCTATGTAATGTCTAAATGCATAAATCTACTCAGAATTCCGTAGTCAGCTACCAGGTAGATATAATTGAAACAGTTCTTCAAACTTGGCAACAATGATAATCTGATAAGTTTAATTGATTGAAATAATTGAAACGGTTCTTCAAAATTGGCAACAATGATCATCTGATAAGTTTAATTGATTGGAGCAGTCAAGAAAAAGCTAATATTAGCGAATCAATCTTTGTAAATGAAACTTTGCGGTGCAAAGGATTCGAGTGTCCAAACATTCAAATCCATCTGATACTCCTTTTCCAAAAAAAAATAGCGATCTGATACATATTTAAGAGTTTAGCTGACAAATTCAAATGCCTTTCTGCACATCATTAATCCATTGATGGTGGACGGCTGACCCATTTGAGATGTTTGCATAGTACTATCATAGTTCATAACTATCAGTACTCAGCAGTTTCTTTTGGTAACTTTTATCAACAGTTATTGGTTAATAATATCTTTGCTTTCTCCTTGATAGGTATTGGGAAGGAAGTATATTAGACTATATCCTGCTTCCATATCTGAGGACTTGTACCCACACACAGAAACTATGCTAAGTAACACCAGTCAGGTACATAACTCCGTTCGATTGGTTACATATTTGGAAAAAATATATATTTGCAGGTCATCACCATTTAATATATATGGATCGTGAGCCAAAGATTTGCATTCTTGGGCCATTCAATTGGGCAGTTTGGCGGAAATTTTGGATGTGACCCGAAATGAGACAAGCGATTAGCGCATGATTGACTGAGTATTAATTATTACAAACTTAAAAAATGGATTTGTTTGATTTTTCTAAAGAAACTTTTATATAAAAAACTTTTGCACGAAACACACCGTTTAGCAGTTTGGATGCGTGCTAACGGAAAATGAGTAAGTTGCCAATGAGTTGCTGAAAAGAACTCAGCGTTAGTATCCTCTTCTTGATTACTCTTAAGCATGAAATTGCAAGCTGGATCTACTTATCAGAGCATTTTAAAGAGCTAAATTAGGAAACAATAAATATGCTTGACTTCCATTTTCTAGGTCAACCTTTTCAGTTACCTGCTAGTCATAACCATTTCTCAGATTATTTGGTTAAAAGCATTATGTCCAATTCTGTTGTGTGCGATGTGAGGATACAGAGTGTTCTAGCCCCATGATAATTTTAGCACTGCCTATAGTTTCTCCTAACTGCCCATTTATCAACACAGCTCAAATGTTTGTGCAGGTAGATCTTGACAACGTTGATCTGAAGGAGTTCCCACGGGTAGAAAATCTTGATTTCTTGGACTGTATATTGGAGGAGGGTGACTTGCTTTACATTCCACCAAAATGGTGGCATTACGTCAGATCTCTTTCTATTAGTTTCTCTGTTAGCTTTTGGTGGCGTTCAACTGTTGTACCTTCAAAGGGTTCATAGCGTCACATTCTGGTCTTTGTACAGCAGAACCGGACCACGGGACCTTGGAAAACCTGACAGAACCTTTTGATTTAGCATCCACTATTGCATGGATGTGGCCATACTATTGCAGATGTACATTGTTACTTCCCCTGTTATGACTAAACATGTAGTTGCTACTATACCAAATGTAACAATGACGATGTACCTTCTGGTAACCTCTGATGCTTGAGCATTGAGCTTGGAGGGTTGGATTTATTGCTCCTGCAAGATTCATGTTCAATTCCTGTGGGCTTATTACAACCCATTTGCAGATGGGGTCCCATTTTCCCAACAATTATCAGTAAGGTTATTTTCAGTGTTTCTCTACATGAGGTGATCAATGCTGTTTTAGACAGAAGGGGGTCACATCCCTGTCCTCTGCATCATGTATACACACCGGCAATGCCATCGATGCTATTATGCATAAATTGAGCGTACAATGTATGTCTGCCAGTGAGTACATTTCCCCCCTTTTTTGTGGTCTTGGGGTATGGCTGTCTAGGGGTGGGTATTCGGTCTAACCGAAAATTTCGGTCTCGGTCTTCGGTCTTTTCGGTCTTTGAAAAGTGAAGACCGAATTTCAGTAAAAAATGTCAGGACCGACAAATTCGGTCTCGGTCTCGGTCTCAGTCCTGACCGAAATTCAACAATATTTTCATATATGCAAAGAAACAATAGAAATTTTCAACACAAAAATCAAAAAAAAATTCGTAAGCACTTATGAGTAAAGACTCTTAATAGGTTGCATGCCTAGAAGAAGTAGGATGTGAAAATTAGAGATTAATCCTATTAAATATAGTGGATTGTATGTTGCATTTAGATATTTTTTTTGGTAATTCGGTCTTTTCGGTCTATTCGGTTACCCGAGGGGACTAACCGAATTGACCGAACAAAATCCGGTCTTTCACTACCTAGGACCGAATTTCTCGGTCTCGGTCTCAGTCTTTTCGGTTCGGTTTTTTTCTGCCCACCCCTATGGCTGCCTGTCAGATTTGACATTATTTTCATGTATCAGATTGTTCAACTGCAAACAGTAGTGAGCTACATAAGCAGTAGACTACTGTGTTGAGCAGCAGCAAAGATTTTACTTCCAATAATGAATAAGTCGTCTGAAGTCTGAAACTTATTAGATATTGACATATCTATTCAGAGGGGAAAAAAACCCTCGAGCATAATGATCTACTCCCCCGTATCAGAATATAATAAGTTTTAGAGTTGGACACGGTTATTAAGAAAGTAGGTAGATGTAAATTGTAAAGGGTTGTGATTAGATGAGTAGTGAAGGTAGATGGGAAAAATGAATGGTGGAGAGTTGCGATTGGTTGGGAAGAGAATGTTGGTGGAGAAGTTACTCTCTCCTTTTCACAATGTAAGTCATTCTATCATTTTCCACATTCATATTGATGTTAATGAATCTAGACATATATATCTATCTAAATTCATTAACATCAATATGAATATGGGAAATGCTAGAATAACTTACATTGTGAAAGGGATGAAGTATTATATTTTAAGATAAATTCTAGGGGTTAAAAGTTGTTATATTTTGGGACGGAGGGAGTATTACTCAGGTTAAACTTGTGGGCCTTGCATAATGAGTGGCATTAGCTGTTAGCATGCTAGCACGATGTGCTCACACCACACCACCATCCTGGAAGCTCGGACCTAACCTACCGGCTAATTACACAACACATATTATCTTACTATTCCAATTCATTCCCTTGGAAGGATTGCAAAGACGTTCTGGTATACTCCTACTAATCTAGGGCCATTTTGGTTTGATGCCAAAATGTGCCCTATCAAATTGTTGGCATTTTAAATAGTAGTTTGGCTAGTGTTTGGTTTGCTAACAAAATGTGCCTATAAGGTACATAAGTTGCCAAAACATTTGGCACTATCAAATTTTGCCTATGATTTGGCATTGCCAATATTTTGGCATGGTAGCAAAACCAAACCAGCCCCTAGTACACTTATCTTACTGTTTCCAACTCCCAAGAACGACACTGACTGGGCATCCATTCTCTTGAGACGCACAAATGGAGTACTGTACTCCTACTACAGTTGCAAAGAAAGAGGAAGAAAAGATGAACAAGAAAAAAACAATATAATAGGGCCCATTAGTAACAGTAGCCTCAAAGCCTGCCCTGCCATGCGTAATAGCTTAACCACAGTGGACAGTAGGACTGTCAAGACAGCCATTAGCATTAATTCTTTTGGCACCTTGTCTTTCGGCAGCATCCTGATATCTCTGTCCCTGAACCACTGCACACATGTGGCCCTGTTTAGAAGAGTTTTTGACAGCTACAACTCTTCCTAAATCTCTCTACTCTTTCGAAGAGTCTGGTTTTGATTCAGATACTAAAGGTTATAAACTAAAAGGAAGAGGCTAAAAAAAATTATTTTGGTATTCTTACTAGTTGCTTATCAAAATCTTCAGCTACTTAAACATGATCTATAATGTCTGTGAGGAATTTTAGGTTTCGAGAAGGAGAATCAGGAGAAGCAAGGGAAAAAAAACTAACTTCTTGTTTTTAGTTTATTTTTTATCCCATAACTACAACTTGTTAAAATCTAGAGTGACAAATTAAACCATTTAAGTGAGCTTTTAATTTAAAAGAAACAACAACCGTTAGAAGCTCTCGTGCAGATCCTCCTAGGCCACCATTGTTTGGCCGAATACGGATAATACACCATACGACGTATTAACAAAATAATAATAATTTATAGATAAAACTGTCATATATGTGTTCTTAACGACTTAAATACTAATGATAAAAAATAAAATTTGATGAAAAAAAAAATCAAAAATCAACTTTAAATTTTAACTTCTAAATTCAAAATTTAACAACAAATGCTGAATGGGGGAAACAATGGGAGTCTCTCTCTCTCTGGACCAGGCGGCGAAAGGCGCCGCGGAAAAGAAGCTGCACCAACCAAACACACCTCTTTGCGTTGCAATTGCAAATGCACCTGACCTGCATCTGCAATTGCATGGCCACCGACCGGGTCGTGCAGTGGTGCCACCGCCGCTGATCTTGTCCGCCTCTCACAGAATGCAGTTATATCTGTCTCCTGGACCTGCTTTGGCTTCGCACTCGCGGCTGTAGCTTTTGTCAGTCCTATATATGCAACCATTGTACTGTGTAGAGGTGAAAACGGATCGGATTCGGATGGATAGTAGTCATACCATATCCTATACCATATTTTTTAATCGGATTCGGAGGCGGTACGGATAATGTGCGGATGCGGATGCGGAACGGATTATTTCGGGTGTCGGAAATGATGCGGACTCGGTGCGGACTCGGCTCGGAAACGGATGAAAATAATCGGATGTGATATGTATATACAATCGATATAACATCTTATCATCTGTGCAATGAGCAACAATGAGGTACCAATATCACAATTCACATGACTCATGAAAGCACCAATCACATCATAATATAATGTCAAGTTGTTAACATTGATTTGTCTTCTGTCCAAAAGCATGTAATCGACACATACAGTATTGACATCACGATATATCGCATTCACATAACACGCAAGACATAAAAGTTTCACAATTGTTAGAAAAAACAGTATCACATAAGACATAGAAGTTCCACACGTAAGTCAGGGCGTCAGGTGGCGGCGTGGGAGGACTGAAAGAAGAGAAGTCTCGATAAAAAAATTGGTTGACGCGACGTCGTTTGAGTCACGGACTGAACTCCTGGATAGATTGATGGATAAGGTGGACATGGATGGGCTGAATCTTTACACGATGAAAATGCTCATGTCAAATGGGCCAAATTGAGTGGTTATATGGGCTGTGAAATTCGGATTATCCGCCAAAACGTTTATCGGATAATCCGTTTAAAATAGCGGATAATCCGTATCCGCCGGATATTACCGATACCATATCCGCATCCGCATCCGCATGCATCTATCCGCATCCGCATCCGCATCCGGACGGATATCTACAGACCCTTACCATATCCTCACTTCGGACGGATTCGGAGCGGATCGGATCGGATAATATCCGCTCCGTTTTCACCCCTAGTACTGTGCACGCTGCAATCTTTTGCAGCAGCAAACACTCACAAGTTGTGCTTCCCTGTACTCTTCTGGCCTGAAAGATACACTGCTTTTCTGTTCGATTAAAGGCGTGTTCAGTTTGATGCCAAAATTAGGGGGTGTTTGGGAGGGACTTATGTTTTTGAGAGTCCCAAACACCCCCTTAATAACTCTGTTAGTTTGGTTTGATACATTATCAGATTTTTGTGCAGAGTTATGTGAATAAGTTAAGGGAAAATTATGCATCTCTAAAGTATGTTTTCTCATAAATTTTATTTCATTGCTTACACTACTTGTTCTAAACTATTTGTTAAGTTTGTTTATAAAAATGTTTAATTTATCTCTACATGTAGATAACCCATGGCAATTATCCAGTGAATAATATGTTTCAAACAGGGTAAAAAATTTGGCAATAGGAGTATTAAAATTTGGTAAGGTTGAAGATAGTAGCAAACCAAATATGCCCTAAATCAGTTTCTGCACTTGTATTTTTCTTATTGCATTCAGGCTCATATAAGCTATTAGGAAAGGTTACTATGTTTTTCTTTTATTTTAGCAAAACGACCGATGATTGAAGGATAAGAGGGAAGAGATAATTAACCTAACCTAACCAAGAGTGGACAGAAAGCCAGAAAGGACTAGGAGCTCACATGCACCTGTCATACTTAAACTAAGGGGTGAATTCCAAATGACCTTAACACCACCTTGTCCTGAACAACAGCCCGGACAAAAATGGATTCTAAGGCTATTTTGTTGTGATTTGTAAAATCAATCACAATGGATTAATAAATTAATAACCCTCAAACAAAATGGACTCACACATCCCTAGTATAATGGATGGGCATCACTGGATGCCATTTTGGATTAAACAAACACCATCATGGACACAGACATCCATCCCTTCCAGGTATACAATCTGCAACAATCTGCAGCTACCCTTGGCTTCGCATACTGCCCCCTAGCTGGAGTATTTTGTTCCTTGCTTTGTGCCAAGACAAAGGCCTCTTTGGGGGTATTGCCTGCCTGGTTTCGTTTTCTTGCTCTGAAAACTCCTTTTAAAAATTTGCAGATCAGATGCATGCAAGACAATAGAAGGGTTCACATAAAAGGTTATATATGCCACTGCCAAAAGAAAATAATTTTGAAGTTGATTTTAAGTTTTTTTTTTCATTGTAGTTTATTTTTCCAGCATTGGCTTTAAAATTGCTAAGAACACATATATAGAGAAGGTTTACTCACAAATAATTTTATTATGTTGATAAGTTTATAATCAGCTCTTACTCAATCAATGGGGTTGTAAAAGGTTAAGATAAGATACGCTCAAAGTGTTTGGTTTAGTGCCTTTTTAGGCTTTAGTAGCACGCAGCCCCTGTGGTTAACTTGACAATGAGACGTCCAATCTTGTTCCTTCCATGCATGTATGCATGGCCATGGTGAGCTCAATGTGCAAAGATCCATCTAGCTAGATGCCATTGGAAAAGCACTCCGATACAAAGGAAAATTCAGTAAAGGTGTAAAGAGGAGAAAAGGAATGGATAGATCACCTTTTTGTTGGTTGTGTTGTCTCTTGCAAAAAACCTTTCACAGATCACTTGTTGAGAAATTTCCATGGATAAAGTTAAGAATGATCAACCTACCCCCTTAACATATCTTGAGTCCTGGCATAAGATTCTTGGGCCTTTTGGATTGGACATATGTACAGCTAGGACCTTGAGCTTTACATCTAGTATGCTCTCTGCTTGACACTTCCCTGAGGGTTTAATTTAAGATTCAAGATAGGTGTATAACTTGGATCTTGTAAACCTTTTTACAGCTAACTTTTGACCAATCCTGCACTAAGCTCAAAACAATGCGAAGAATGACAGACTCCTTGAGATCCTCCCCTTAAAAAAACAATCAAGGAAAAAGGAACATCTAAATCTCTGTCTCTGCTTCAGCAGTTCATAAGTTCCAGAGGATACTATGATTTTTAAAGCCATTAGGGCATGATCAAATTTTTTAGATAATGGATTAAACCGGCCTCTACACCCAAAAAAGGATGTACACAGCCCATTAGGGCATGATCAAATGTAGAACCTGATGTGGCTCTTAAAGCACAACTCAGTTAGAGATTATCATCATATAACGATTGAGATAACAAATGCTCTAACTATTAGTATACGGATTTTTTTATTACATTCTTTCCTCTTCCCTACTCTTACACAGCACAATTTTCTTTTATAAACAATAAAAATCATTGTTAAGCCCATATTAATCTTATAACAACATTTCTCTCTACTCTCATCTATATCATGTTAGCAAATTTGTCTGGTTGTTGTATATTCGCTTAAGAAGGTATGTAAAGATACTAAATTTTACACTAAGAAAAATAGTACCTTAATGTTTGTAAAATTCTTTATGGTATACTGACATGGAGAGATTTCAGAGTACATTTTAAGTTTTGAGGAAATGGATCATCAGCAACAACTGCATCTACCCAAAAAAATACCAATAACAACAACAACTGCATCTTATACGCTTCATTCTTTTTAGAAATGGTAGTTAAAGCCAGGTTGCATTCCTGACGAAAGGTCCAACCTTTTAATAGTTTATCTTTCAAAAGATAAAAAAAAGCTTATCAGTATTCCGTCCGCGTCGCGCGTGATAGCTAGCTGAGCTAAGCAGAATGTCTGTCTCGTGTCTGAGCTAACCATAAAAAAAGAAAAGAAAATGTTCAGTCCGAGCTCCAACCAGAATGTTGTCACGAGCTTAGCCTGACACGGCAGCGTGTGTCACCGGCGGCGATCGCGGTGGCCGCCGCCGCCGGAGAGGAGAGCGACGGCCGGGAATTTAATGCGCCGTCGCCGCCTCGGTTGGACAGCAAATCCGCCACCGCGGGGCAAGCAAGCAAGCAAGAAAGCCTGCAGGGCATCGCAACAGAGATGTCCATTAATGGCCGGGTTGTTGCAGATAGAGGTAGTGTTGGCATTGAGATTTTTGACCTACCTCCAACTACCAGCCATAAACAGGTGAAAAATAGTGACAATGGCTCGAAATTTGTGCAGATATAGAGGTGTGTTTAGTTCACGGTCAAAATTAAAAGTTTGGTTGAAATTAAAACGATGTGATGGAAAAGTTAGAAGTTTGTATGTGTAGAAAAATTTCGGAGGGAAATTTGTGCAAATATAAAACTCTATTTCAAGTGTATTTCACTACTCAGCACTGCAGTAGAAGAAAGTTTTCGAGAAAACATTTTTTTTAAAGCATAATGCAAATACTAGGTGGATCGGTACCGCTTTGATTTGGTAGAATCGTAGTAGTATTGTAAGGTACTAGCATATGGATCGAGATTCTGATAATCTTTGTCCCAAGAAGCCGATGAATAAACAGAAAAAAACGTAACCTTAATCACCAACTTGTCGGCTGTTTCTTTAACATTGGTCGGTAGCATGTAATACACCTTTACAAGATTTTTGGCAAAGGAGGCCCGAATTTGAGGTGGTACTCCTACCAATCAAGCAAAGTATACACAAAGCAGCAGCGAATCTACATAATGCAGCTAAAAGCAAAAAGAAAAGAAAAGAAAAGAAAGCCAAAAAAAAGCTCAAAAGAAAAGAGGGCCTTGCTTGCAGCAAGCACTGGCAAATCTCTTCAAATGTGCAGTTCCCTCCACCTCCTCAATCTCTCTCTCAATCTGTCACTCTCCTCTGCAACAACCACTCTCTCTCTCTCAAGAATCTACTGTTCATTTCCCCCTCCATTGCTTCTCCTCACCCGTGCTCGCTTGCCTCGCTCTGCGTTCCAAGAATCCTTGGGGCAAGCGAAGGCGAAGCAGCCTTTGACTCGCCTGACATGGCCATGGCGGCCGCCGCAGCCGAGGCGTTCGGCACGGCGGCGGCGACGTCGACGCCGCCGGTGCAGGCGACGCGGCAGGACGTGCAGGCCGCCATCGCCAAGGCGGTCGAGCTGCGGGCGCTCCACGCCGCGCTGCTGCAGCGCGGCGGCGGCGGCGTAGGCGGCGGCGCCAGCGCCAGCCGCAGCCCGGCCATCATCCGCCTCCCGCCGGCCGCGTCCCCCGCGCTCTCCAGGGCGGGGGCGGCGGCGGCGGCGGTGGCCACCGTCGACGAGGACTACCCGGTGTTTACTCCGGTGAGCGAGCTTTTCTTGCGTACAGTCACCCTGTCACTGCTATCTTTGATGCTGCCATGGCGATGTGCCTTCTTGGTTCATCTCTTCTCGTTTTCAAGGGTCATTCGTTGGTGATGAACTTGAGCCATTCATTAGTTCTCCTTAACTTGCATGCTCTTCTTGCTGCTAGCATGTTCTTCCTCTTCTTGACAGCTAATCCCAGATGCTCCTACTATTACTCTGCAATTAATAGGACATGTAATGCAGTTAAGCAACAGTAAAAGTTGCGTTATCTCAGATTCTTTTGATGTCACATTCTCACCTTTTTCTGAAAGAAGCTTGATGACACATCTGTGGAGTAATCTCTTGCTGTGCTTTAACCTATAGCAGCAACCTGTACTTTGCCTTGGTAAATGGTAAAAATTGGAAACTTTCAGTAGCAACTCCATGCAGATTGCAGAAATGTGGGTTGCAATGTGCCATTCTGTTTGGATTTCTTCACTTTTTTTTTTCAATCTCACTGTCCCTGAATTTGTTCTGTTCTTTTGCAAGATTTTTTTGGCTAATTTTTGGCTTGAATTTCTTGTTAAATTGGTCAGGCTTACGATGAGGAGCAAATGGCCGGACTCAGCCACATTTGCCAGGACAACCGGAGCCGGTCGGAGAACTGGAGCGGCATCGCGTTGGGCGGCGGCGGCAGCGGCGACGACGACGACGACGCGGCCTTCTCCGACTACGACAACCTCAACGCCTTCTCGTCCTCGAACAGCGAGCTCCGCTTCCCGTCGTCCACCGACCATCACCGGCGGCACAAGGTCCACCCGGCGTTCTTGCACTCCGCGCCGTCGGCCGACCGTTTCCTCGCGTCGGCGGGGAGGGCGACCATGGCCGGCACGGCGGAGCTGCTCAAGGCGCCGTCGACGTGCGGCAGCGCGTTCCGGCCGGCGACGATCGGCCGGGACCACGGCATCGACGTCGGGGCCCTCAAGTTCCTCGCCAGCAGCGGCGCGCCGCTCTCGGCGGCGGCGGCGGCGGCGCAGCCCCGGCCGGCGAAGCACAGAAGGGCGCAGATCCTCTCGTGGCTCTTCCCGAGGGCGAAGAAGAAGGCGAAGCCGATGTCGCCGAGCGCCATCGAGCGGGAGAACATGTCGCAGCTGCTCAAGGAGTGGGGGTTGCTGTCGCTCGACTCGCTCCGGCGAGAGCTCGCCGACGCGAACGCGCACCGCGACGCCGCGCTGCAGGAAGCCGCCGAGATGAGGTCGTCCCTGGGAGAGCTCACCACCAAGCTCGCCGGCCTCGAGGCCTACTGCTCGGAGCTCAAGAAGGCACTGCGACTAGCGACGAGCTCAACCAGCAACGCTCAACCATCATCATCCTCCATGTCGAGGAGATCAACGCGATCGATCGGAGCAAGCCAGGAGCTCCCGGGGCCGGTCAGCCATGAAGCCATGGTGGAAGGCTTCTTGCAGATCGCCTCCGAGGCGCGGCTTTCGGTGAAGCAATTCTGCAAGGCATTGATCCAGCAGGTCGAAGAACCTGACAATGGTTTGATAGAAAAACTAAACATTCTTCTCCAACCTTACCAGCTCATGATCACTGACAACAAGCATTGCTCCAAGCTGGTGCTGTACCATCTGGAAGCTCTGATGAACCAGGCAATGTACCAGGACTTCGAGAACTGCACGTTCCAGAAGAACGGCTCGCCACGGTGCCTCGATCCCAAGCAAGGATCCCAGGAGAGCTTCGCCTCCTTCGTCGCACTGCGCAACCTGAGCTGGAACGAGGTGCTCAGGAAGGGCACCAAGTACTACAGCGAGGACTTCAGCCGGTTCTGCGACCAGAAGATGAGCTGCATTGTGTCCACCCTGAAGAATTGGTCCCGGCCATGGCCGGAGCAGCTGCTGCAGTGCTTCTTCGTCGCTGCCAAGTGCGTCTGGCTGCTCCACCTCCTGGCCTTCTCCTTCACCCCCGCGCTGACGATCATGCGGGTCGAAGAGAGCCGCGTATTCGATCAGATGTACATGGAGGACATCCTACCTGACAAGCAGCAGCTGCACAATCCTTGTCAGGTAAAGATCATGGTAATGCCGGGGTTCTATGTCCAATATCGAGTGCTCAAGTGTAGAGTGCTCACAACTTGATAAGTAGCATAATTGAGATTCATGGCTTAGCTCTCATTGACCAATAGCTTGTGTGGTTTAAGTGTAACAAACTTTATGTTCAGTACAAAGTACAGAAATGTCAGTGTTGAACAATATGTTTGGGAGTAACTTAACAGGCCCATAATTGGGATAATCCTTAGATAATTATTGAAATGCTTATGTATTCCTCCAATGGTATGCTATGATCAACAAAAACATTGCATCACAACATAATGTTTCAGATGTTATGAAAGCCTCGCCCTTGGTATATCCAGAAACCTAGTAAGGCTCTGGACATTTCTAGCCAGGCTTCTACACTTAAATGGAACAAAACTGAGCATACTGCCCAAGAGAACTATGTAAATGAAGACATACATATGCACATTAGAAGCTTGCAGCATGAAAGGATCACACCCAGCTGGTTCCCACTGAAAGATCATCAATCCGAAATGACAAATCCCCCACATAGTCCTCATCAACATCTACTCTAGGTTCAATGCTCTCAATTAGATTCCAGGGTACTTGAGGTAGCTCAGATTGTGGGGGAAGTTTCGGAGAGCGAATGATCCTTTCTACAGGACCACTAGGTTTCTCCCACATGAGCAGGTGGAGCTGGATGGGGCGCACCGCAAGGCGGTGCAAGGAAAGCTTTTGGCTGAGGGAGATGGTGTCGAAGCAGCGGATCGCTCCTGAGCTGGAGATCATCCAGGGAAGGACCTTCTCATTGGACACCCTTGAGATAACTAGCAGTTTTGATGCCTCCCTTGCCTGGTTGAACAGATCGCGGAGCCCTGACCGTGTCGATGGCGCCTCATTGTCCTTGTCATTGTCAACCACTGAAGATATGAAGATAAAACCCTGCCAGAAAGAAATGTGTCACAGTGTGTTCCATGTGTAGTTCTAATTGTTCAGGTACACTATTGTCGGCATTGTGTACAGTGTCAAGTGACAAAGTACCTCTTCAGTACGGCTGATGGCGAATCCTAGCCTCGTGTCACCTTCTTCAAGTGGAATCTCCAGCGGCATCTCTTCTGCTATGGAGCTGTACCAAAGTCGGGCTGCTTTCACCACCCCAATATCTACCCCATGGTAATCCTCAAAACCATACAGGGTCGCATTCGTGACGTTAGACAGATCAGACAAAGAACCTGAGTTAACAGTTGCAGACGCTGTCTCTCCAGATATCTGTACATTTTGAAGTGCAAAGATCACATCTTAATAAGTAGAGTTAACCAAATCAACTCTTATCTGGGGTTTTATGTTCATACTCAGGTTCAATCTACTGAAGGTTCAGTTAAGCAACAGGAAATTTAGGCTGCAAAAAGCCTGAAGCAGGGAGATTGTATCTGCACCTTGGTGAGAAGAGCCTCACTCTGCACATTCATGAACTCGATGGGGATTCCTGAGACCTGCGAGGAGTAGATCCACGCGTTGGCACGGGCAAGGGTGTCCTCAAAGGACTCGTATCGACATGAATTCAGGTCCAGAGCTTTGGGGAGGACGAGCATCGAGAGGTAGCTGCTGGAGTTGGGCATGCGCAACGAGTCACGCATCTTCTTCTCCCATGGGTATGCAACATAACCATCCTGAAGTTGTGCCCTGCTCAGGGCTGATGCCACTCTTGTGCTCCTAGTGCCTTCATGAATCAAGGGAAAGTCACATACTTTCCATAGAAAGATAATCCAAAAAACCACAACAAAAGAGATTATATGTTTCATTACCCAAAAGTTCACAACGAAATAGATTATCTGTTTCTTACTTAAAACTTAAAGTCAGGGATGGAAGCATCTACCAGTTGTTCAGAAGCGCTGAATTCTACAGGAAAACGCACATGCTTGACAAAGAAAAGTTGCACCAGGGCACTAACAGTTATAACTTCTAGCCAGGTAGATCAAAAGCCATATATGTCCAGACCAGCCTAATCAGATAAGAGTGCGGTAGTTATGTCCCAACAGTAATGAACCAACTAATCAGGAGGCCACAAACGATGACTGTTTATAACGACTACAAAGTCTAGTCCACCATAGAAATTCCATCTTCCCCGGGGATATGAGAATTGAGAAAACGAGTGAACATTACGAGGTATCTAGAAATTGATCACCATCTAGACAAACGACCAATCTCTACCAAAGCAATTGGCCTGACATTGTTTCCGAAACGTCTTCCATATTCTCCCATACTTTATCACTATTTTCTTTCCACTTTGCTTCCATTATCTTTTGTCATGTAGCTATCGTTCTTATCATTGATAACTACAGGCAGATTAGTTTTCTCTCCGTGAGAGAAAGACACACACTTATGCAAGGAAATTAGGCCTGCAACAACGCGCTGAAAGATCAGCTTATCAGAATATTCTTGGTGGGGGTTTTGAACCTCAAAGAGTTGACAGCAAACTTGTCTTTTTCACAACAGGTGTAAAAACACATGTAGAGGCCAAGAAAGGCACAAAATGAAAACAAGATTAAATGCCGCATCTGTCTTGTTGATACTCCTGTTTCGTTCGTTTCACTCTTGTTTATATTTTACCAACACATTGAATGAACACACACAAGAAAAAATTCTCGTAATGAAATGAACACACCGAACTTCTCTGAAATCGATTTGATCAGCAAAAAGGTTCAGTTCATAACACCAAGGATGAGCTGAAGCGGCAGAACATTTCTATACTTGAATCAACTTGAAACAGTAATATATTTTTTGGTTGAATTCGTCTGGAACAGCAAAATTGCAAAATGCGCGGCAAAACGGATGAACTATTCAGATTTCAGAGCGATGAGCAGTGAGCGAAGTAGTTTACCTTGCAACAAGAGGCACTCGCTTTCGAGGCGGTCGACGAAGCCAAGAACGTAGTTGGGGTCGTGCAGGGAACGCAGCACGTACTGCTTATTCCCACCTCCGCCGCCGCCTCCTCCTCCGCCTCCGCCACCGCCTCCGCCGCCGCCGCCGCCGCCGGAGTGAGGGAGGATGCAGGCCTGCAGCTCGCTGCCTCCGCGGACGCGCACCTCGACGGAGGTGTCCCCGCGCTTGAACGCGGCGTGCATCGCCTTGTGCAGCGCGGCGCGCCCCCCCTTGAACGGCGCCTCCAGCACCGCGGCGCCGGGGCCGGGGCCGCCGCCGCGCCCCACCCGGACCGCCTCCACCACGTCCCCTTCCTGCACCACCCCTCCGCCGCCGCCCCACTCCTCCGCCTTGGAGCTCCCCGCCACGCACTCCAGCACCACCACCTGCCCCCGCTCCCCCGCCGCCGCCGCCATCTTCCTCCTCGCGTCCTCCTGCTCCATCATCGATCGCCCTCGACCTCGAGTGATCAACCTCTGCAACGATCGCGTGGGCCAAGTGGGGCGGCGACTTTCTCTAGAATACTCTGCGCGGCCTCGTGCTCCTCGCAGACTTTGCGCCCCGCGCGGCCGCGGCGGCGCGCGCGGCGAGAGGGGGGAGGGGTTAAAGAAGAGGAGAGGAGAAGGGGGCAAGTCGCCGTCGAGGTGGTTGACGACGACGACCAATCGCGCCGCGTCACGTTTCGTTTCGTTTCTCACCTCTCGCGCGCGCGAGGGCCGCTCGATCCGTTGCTGCGTGGCCCACATGTCAGAGGGAGAGGGGGGTATTGCATAGTACTCTCTCTATCCAAAATGTCACTGCATATTTCAATTTTTTTTCTATTTTTAAAAATACATAGTATAAACGCAGTCTCACACAACACGTATACAATAGCCCTATTACCACAGACGTCTTGCTACCTGGGTAGGCTGATTCCACCACCACAGTTAAGTTACGCTCACTTCGTGCATATTTTATTTTTTTAGTTTTTTTCAAATGAGATTAATATATTTACAACATCTATGTTCTAGATAATTAGATTAAATTATTGATCATAACTTAAGAAATTATTTTAATACTTATTGGTTACATGTATGTATATTATTAGTTTCTTGGTTTTTTCATATGATCCACGAGTGAATTCCTTTCTACTTTTAGTAATAAAAGAAATACAGTACTCTTATAATTTAAACTTTTAGATGGAGTACAGTTGGAATTTTGATGGATTGATGGGATCGGCGGCCGCCTCGTTGGATTATCTGGCCTTTGGATTTGATGTGTCCACCTCCGAATTGAATGCGATTCGGTGAATTCCTGTTCACTTGTTCAGGTTGTTCGTACAGTGCAGGGCGTGTTTTGATTACTCCGTTTTTTTATGGTCACGAGTTGATTTTGACTCCTGTTCTTTTCCTCTTACCGATTTAAGAGTAATGCTTGCAAACTATTACGTGTATGCTTGCAAGCTTCTTAAACGTTGCGAGTTCTGCAAAAACTAAGTTTCTTATAATACCTTTTTTTTCTTAACGAAACAAAATTTCAATTTTAAAGTACTCTACGTTCTAAAATATAGAAGCCTAATACTAGATTGAACACTTAATCCGGTACTATAAATCTAGATAATTCGAAGTACCATATGATGTCTAATTAGTTCTACGTAATTGGGGTAGCTAATTTATTCATTTGTACACCCTTGAATATTATCTCAAAAACCAGATAATCCATAATCGATTCAGAGCTGATTCCTTTGTAAATTTGACTACTATTTCCTATTGATCACATATGTTCCAAATTTCCAAGCTAAGACTTTGTTGGTTAGATGCGATTGGAGAGCTCCCAAATGGAGTCAACTTCATCAGATTGCCCCTGTGGACTTCCCAACCCAATGGCTATATGTATAAACGATGATGAAGCTTGGAAGCAATGGCATATGCAGAGCCCGCCAGCGGCAAGCAATCCAGGTATCAAATTGTGCGACAAATTGCAAATACATAGGCACATAAGTTGTACTACTGGAAGAAAAAGAATCAGGAGCTCCTGATGGACAGAATCCAGGAGTATATATATCTAACCATCTGGCAACTCGTATGAAGAATTTTTTGTGTACCTGGTAAACAAGTAATATAGGAAAAATGTGCACGTATGAACTGCTGGATTCCGTTTGATAAATTAAGCCACTAATTAAAAAAGAGCGATAGATTCAAGAGCAGAGAGACGCTGACTGTGCAGATCCAAATGGCATATTATACATCGGAGCAGATACCAATGACGAAGATGAACAGCTTGAATTGGTCGGTTTCATCATAGACATAAATAAAGTATGTAGCAACTTGCATCGATATTTTTTGTTTACAGAAACAGCAGGAGCCAGGATGAAGCTACCAATTTCGTCTCTTCCTGCTCTGAAATGCCGAAACAATGGATTGGTCAGCGTATCAACCAAGTTTTTAAAAGAAAAAAAAAGAGCTGCTGCACCCGGTTAAAGAAAAGGGGACATGAAGTTAACTGACGTTTTACACGATGTGCATCTTAAAAGAAATACTATGGATATATAGTATCAAAGAAGCTGACTGTATTTGATCCCTAAAAAGCGGACAAACTGAAAAGTTGCAGCCGATGTGTTCTCAGATGTAATTTAACGTCCAAAAGTCTTTCAGTAATAAAGAAACAACTAACAAAAAGAAATAAAGATCTAGAGAATAAACAGATATCTACAGTGTATCTGGTAACAGAATACTGAATTACAGTTAATACACAAATCAAAATGAAATATAGAATATCAATTTGCTGTATCTGCTGATCTGGCAAAGGCTGTCAGCCTATCACCTAGAGATGTACTCCCTCCATCCTAAAAAAAGGCAAACCCTGGCTATGAATCTGAACATGTCCAGGGTTTGTCTTTTTTTTTTGGGACGGAGGGAGTATTGCACTAATATTGGCTACGGTTCTGAGGACTAGCAACAGCAAAGATGATGGAAGAGGAAGACAAAAGTACACAGTACAAAGAAAAAGAATATACATGGAAGAAAGGTGCACTGAATAAAGTCACATATTTGATAGTAGAATAAATTTAACAAAAGCTGTGGAACTGAATTTAGTCATGTATTCAGTGTACCTGTAATTGGTAATAACTGCAGTCTAAACTCTACATCCATCTCTTTGTAGCTCTGTTCCTTGAGTCTTGCTGGCTTTGCCGTCTAGTCCTTTTAAAGTCTCCATTGGTGGATATACGTTGCTTCTGTCTACCGACCAAACTTGTTTCAACATTCGGATCTATACGGTTCTCTTTTAATGGACTAGTCGACCGAAGCTTGCCAGCTGATGAGTTTTTTGTGGGAAAACATGCGCTTTCCATTGAGAATCTAGAACTACCCTTGTATTCAGAGTCTCCAGCAATGCCATCATCAACCTTAAGATGATCATCAAGGTATTCTCTTGGTGCTACAGGAGACTCAGAATCCGATGATGATGGGCTAGTGCTGCTCATATCATAAAGAACATTACTTGACATCACTGGCAGTTCAGAGCAGCTAGTACTTAAATTGACAGAAGATGTTCTTTTAGCCCTTGTTAATTCAACAACCTTGAGTATGAAACATTGAAACAAGACATGTTACAACTTTACCAGAACACACAAAGAAAAATCACAAGATGTAAGTAGCAATGGACCACATACCATCTGCTTTAAAGCTGACATGTCCTTCTTCAGTTTAGATATCACCATGTTTTTTCTTTTAAGAATTTCTTGCAGCTCTGCTATTCTCTGCATATAGACAGATGGATAACATAAGTATATATAATTCACATGGTTGGCATACCACCACGACAATTTGTACCTTGGCATCAGCAGTGCTAGATGTATGTGCAGTTGCAGCCAGTTCCTTTATGATTGCATCCTTCTCTTCGCATTCTTTCTGAAGGTTGTACAATTCCTGTTCTGCCGCCAGGGAACTTAGCTGGATGCAATTGACCAGAGTGTCACCAGTCAGCAACATTTAAAGCACGAGAAATGTTCAGATTTTATCAAAGCACTCCGCTCCATAATGAAGGTAATACTGAAATGTTGATCAATAATTCGTACATTGAAAAAAAAACTGTACATGAACAATTAACAATGATGACGTTGCGCATAAATAAGATGCTTTCACCACAGAATGGAGTAGGATTTACCTGATTGTCCCCATTTACATGATTATCCACCGATGACACAACACTCCAGCAAAAGTCTGAGAGGTCTGACATTCGGCGCTCTTCATGGTCCATATGACTCACGCTGGACCTATCAACAACATCAGATTTTGCATCGTCCATTCCACAGATATCCTGCACTCGTCCACCATATGAAAAGGAAGTGAGATGAAAATACCTCATGGAACAAGCTCTCTGTAAAGACATAATACCTTTGTCTTGTGAGGAGTAGCAGCAATCTCTGGCTTTGCACACGCACAGCATCTAGCTCCGTCATAATCTCCTACCTTCTTGCTACCCACCAACTCAGATTTTCCCTGCTCCGAGGAAATGAAGGTGTTGCACTTGACATACTGCTGTTGCAGGGAGTTCATCTCGTCAAACAGATCATCAAGCTTCTGCTGCATGCTTTGAAGCACCTCATCCTGCATACCATAAACATTTCTTCATACGATTACTTAAGGCTGCAAGAACAGCATGTAAAAGCCGAGATATCGTGCATATAGCACATTACCGCAAACATTAGAATATGCAACATTCAAGTGGAACCTAATCACCTACGAGGTACTATAATAAAAGTCATATACGCATAGCACTTGGCCGAAATGACAAGAACACACAGGCTTCAGTATATATGAGATCACTAAAATCAACAAAGGGGTTCAACACTTCAATCTATTAAGTATTAGCTATGTGACTAATAAATCTGGGATAAGGCGAAATATATGAGATCAGTAAAACCAAACCCTAATATGAATCGATCGCTGGAGTTGCTCGACGCGGCGGGCCTCGTGGGAGCGGGAGGAGGCAGCCGCGACGGTGGCGACCAGGAGCACGCGGTGGAGCGGGCTGAAGAGCTCCCACGCCACCGCCTCATCCGGAGGGAGCCCCGGCGCGGCCGAGGCGGCGGACGTCGCCTCCTCGGCGCCGACGAGGCGGCCCTGCAGCGACACCCACGCGTGCCGCCGCGGGCTCGCCGGCTCGCGGAAGCGGCTCGTGAGGGCGGCGCACCGGCGCCGCGGGGTGGACGAAGAAGAGGACACGGACACGCGGGAGGGTGGCCCGCCCGGCGGAGGGGTCGCCTCGCCGACGGCGGCGGCGACCATGGCGACGGCTGACGAATCGCGTTTCGAATTGGGGATTTTTTTTTTTTTTGGTTTGAGCGGGTGATTTTGACGAAAGTGGTTTTCGAAATGTGAAATACTGGAGACATCTTGTCGAAACGAAACGGCTGAGTTGTGGAGACCAGCTGTTGCCTTGTTGGGCTTTGAGAAATCCAGCCCATTTTGGAACGGGCCTCAAGGCCCAAACCCATGTAGCTTCAAGTGGGCTATAGTAAAACTAACCGTATTGTTTTGCACACAGTTTTCACCCAATAAAGTATAGGAAGGAAATAAGTCTACTTTGCCTCCCTCAACTCATACCCTAGTTGAATCGTATCCCTCAACCGCAAAACCGGCTATAACCCGTCCTCCAACTCACAAAATCGTTGCAAATCAACTCTTCAGACGATTTGGGAGGTGGTTTCGTCCGACGTGGCATCTGCAACCCCGTTGACTAGCTGCGTCAGCATGTGGATCGGACCACATATGTCAGTGTCTTGCAGAGGCGGTGGCGGTGCCTGGTAGTGGTGCACGGCGGTGGCCATGGCATGACGGCGAACAAAGGTGTGGCGGTGGAAACCAAGGGCATAGGCAAGAAGAGGGGAACACGATGGACCTTACCGACGCAATTACGACAACGAGAGGCGACGGGAGTGGCCGGCGGCGAGCTTCAAAAGGCGACGACCTCGGGTTGATGTCGACGACAGCGCTCCGATGATGTCCAAGTGAAGCAGAGGTGAGGCCGAGCTTCTCCTTCGTCTTGCGAACCCGACAGTGGCGACAGCCACCTCAGGCGACGACGGTTGCGGCGGTGCGGCTCGGCTAGAGCGGTGGCCTTGGGCGAACATAGAGATAAAGCGCTCGGGGAGGCGGCTAGGGCATGAGTTCAAACCAGGGTTATATATATATAGGCGGAGGAGAGGAAGACCGGTCTAGAAACAGATGGATTCAGTGTGGAAAACTAGGGTTCATCCTGAGTTCGTCGGGATAAGAATATGGCCAAAATTCGCGGGATTTAACATGATATTGATGAGGCTTTCTTGGAGAGAAAAGGAGAGGAGATCGAGAAGAATCCGTTTCTGCAAGTAATTTGGAAAGAGAGGTGATGGGGAGGCCAGACTTGGAAGGTGAGGTTACGCTACAGTGCATGGGCACGAACAAGAGATCGGCTGGAGGAGGAAGAATCTGGGAGAGGTAAAGTAGACTTTTTGTACTACAAGACACTGACATATTGGGCCCATGTGTTGACTCAGCTAGTCAAGGGGTCAAAGATACCACGTCAGACGAAACCGCCTCCCAAACCACCCGAGGAGTCAATTTGTGATGGTTTTGTGAGTTGGAGGATGGGTTATATCCGGTTTTGCGGTTGAGGGATGCTATTCAACTAATGGCATGAGTTGAGGGAGGTAAAGTAGAGTTATTCCTTTTCCTATCATCCACACGTCGGCATGGGGGCGTGCGCGTGCAAACGAGCACGCAGTTGATGCGTCCACCGCCGTCCCACCCCTATCTCGATCTCACCCGTGCCCGCCGCCGCTTTCCGCTATCTCGTTAGCCGCTAATCATCCCTTTTCATCCCCAAGTGCCACTGGGACCATCCTACTTCGTCTCGACAAGAGCCACCAAAGCCGCTTTCCCTCGGTTCACATCTTTCCTTCCATCCTGCATACCAACTACAGCGTGAAAGAATGGTAAATTTGCTTCATGGATAAATAGTTCTTTTTGCCACCTTTTCTTTATTTTGGTTAAGGAGATGAGCAATGATTGCATTTTATTTTGTATGCATCATGTTGGTAACAGATATTTTCTTTTACTTTGGTTTGCTATGTAATATTGTGATTTTGGGATAAAAAGAAATGAGGTCCATGAGGTATTGAGGCAGGGTAAACTCCATCCCCCTATTCAGTCTAAACACCCTTGGCGAACAAGTCAAAGTGATCTTTTACTCTTGGCAAATACTTTTCGACTCAATGAGCCTGATCAAGGCGGTCTCTAGTCATGGTAAACTTCATTCAAGCTATTTTACATAGCTGATGAGGTGTTTGGTCATGGAAAACTGTATTCGAGCTATTTTACATAGCCAATGAGGCGTTTGGTCATGGCAAATCACATTCGAGCTATTATATACAGTCGGGGAGATTTTTTACTTATAGCAGACAGACACCCAAGGAGCTAGCCAACGGAGGAGTGTGTTCGAGTCCTCGCATGGGAAATGTCTTTCACCCAAGGCAATAGAAGATCAAGGAAAATGCTCTCAAGCATAGAAGATTCCATGCGGACCACTTCAACTACTCTTGCAAGTTGGCGCCAAAAATCTTTAGGAACCACAAAAATGTACCAATATACCCTTAGGGTTATAAGCTTTATAGGGGTATTATAGTAACTCCTTGTAAGCATTTGAGGGCAAATTTGTAATCTCATATGTATAGTTGAGGGCTATATAACCCAACCCTAACCTTGTAACAGAGGAGGAGGAAGAGGAATACAAACTTCAATTCTTGGCATTTACATTCGAGCTCATATTCAGGATAGACGGAGAATATACACTTTCCCCTCTATCCCAAATCTTGTCCGTGACCTAAGGTCACGACAATATTGTTTCCTGCCTACTTGCTACTAGATGATAGAAGTAAACATTATAGATATTTGCATATAGTTTATGTTGTGTGTGATTGAAGTAGGGTTACACTGCTGCCTGCTAGGCTAGGCTAGCTAAGTGCTTGAATGGACTACTGTTGGGCTGTGATGAATAGAGTACTCTATATTAGTGTATTTGCATCCCCTATCTTCTTATCTTTTCTCCTTTTCACTGTATGCAAAGGATGCCAAAAATATGCTAGTTGGTGTGGTGCATTTAGTACTTACAATGTTGATCCTTACCTAAGGCCCAATATAACCAGTCTTACTAGAAATGCATCGCTTCAAACAAATAGAGAGTAAACTGTACCTCTAATGCATCATTGCTTAATTCTAGAACACGAAACATATGTAATGGAGAGGTAATAATATTATTTGACTGCCTTGTAGCGACTTTCTATGGTTTAATGATTACGATCAAGTCATCTTTAGTTCTTCAGTAATTTGTGTTACTGCATTGGAAGTACATTTATATAAGATCTTGTTGATTGTTTTCTTGCAAGAGAGATTGTTTATAAAATTATTGTAATTTTAATTGTATTTTGAGTCAATCAAACTTTTCTCACCAAACACATTATCTAATTGATCCTGATTTTTTTAGTTTCTGATTTTAGGGTGAATTAGAATTAGAATCACCAAGAATCAGAATCTACTCAACTAGCTTGATGTCCGTTGGAGATGTCTATCCATTAATAATTGTCTAAAATTGAAATTAGCTTGTTGGGATGCAGTGCAGCTAAATCATAGTGGTTGGAACAATTAGGTGGTTCTGATAAAAATTGTTAAAGATTTAACGGTATGGAATCATTATATATTCTAACACTATGTTTTGTTATATGCTCACAATTAGCATATTGCAAATTCATAAGGCTATATTAATTCCTATAACATATGGTGATGGTATGATGAAAATATTTAGGCATCTGAACTTTTTATTCGCCATGGTTACTTATCTATTATGTTTGTTGATAGAGGATTAACAACTGTCCAAAATGATTCAAACTCATTTTAATGAGCACAAAGCGCTTAAAGATATAGTTTTCTTCACTTTGGGAATGATACCAACAGTCGATTATCCTGACTATACGGTGTATCACTGGAGAAATGTGAGGTAGACAATACATTGATAATTTGATATGTGTTGTATTAATAAAGTATTTAAATTTGGGTCCTTTACTCATGATGATAGTTTGACACATCTGAAATATGAGCGAATTGTGTATTTCTAATTGTTCCTTGGGTGGAGTAGCCGAATATAGCTCTGCTATTTTGGATGCAAATTTTTAAGTTGTTGGCATCAACTTTAAAGCATCAGATGGCTCCACAATAGCTCTATCGTTGGAAAAAAATTAAATATCAAATTGAATATGTATTCGAAAAACTGCATGGGTCTTCTAGTATTATCAGGATATAACGAGCAGATGTAAATATCAGGCATTATGTAAACCATAAACAAGCATGATTTATACAGAAGAAGACAGAGCGAGCCCCCAGCGTTAGATCGTAGTCGATTTAACATCGGGGACACCCGCGCAACAGATATTATTGTATAAAGAACATGTTCTAGGTAAACATAATAAATTATAGATCTGACAATGTTGTATGATCTGAATAGGTATGATAAATTATAGATAAAATATTGCGTACCTTTGTAGATACATGCTGGATGTATCTACGAAATTAGTAGATCAATTTGAAAAACCAATCTACCAATTACCTTATTGCGTACTCGTTCGACATCATATGATCTGACATGTTTTGGTACGCCGCGTATCTTGAGGCTTGGATGATCTCGATAGACCAAGTTGTCGATGACGATGATGGTTCCGATCTGGTTAGGTTGGATCTCCCCACAGCCGAAGTCGTCGAGTAGCTGGTTGTCGGAGAGTCCATCTCTTAAACCCATCTCGTCGAAATCCTAAAGCACCAAAATCCCCCTACCTGGCGCGCCACTGTCGACGTTTGATGTCACGACTACGGTATTTGGACAGTATGGGGATCGTTGGTGCTAGGATATACGCGAGACTGAGGTAAAAGAGATGGAGACATGGATTTTTATACAGGTTCGAGCCCCTGAGTTGTCAGGTAATAACCCTACATCCTGTTGGCCGAAGCCGGTATTGCTCTTATTCACCATAATCACACCAGTACAATATGTGGGTAGCCTATCTAACTGTTGTCGACATGGCGGTCTGAAGGTCTGACTCGTAGTCGACAACAGGGTAGCCTTCCTCCTCGAGCTCGCGCCCGACGGAATCAGAGACAGTGCTAGATCCCTACGGCCGGCCTCTGAAGGTACCGGATAGGGTCGATCCAGGTGTATCTCTGATGTCGATATCCGGCGGCTTGTCTTGGCATATGTAGGCTTCTATGTTGATTGTGTTGGGAGTTGATTGTCTCGTGGTGGGTGTTGATCGTCTCATGATCGGTGTTGATCGTCCAT